GCCTCCCATCGGCGCTTTACGGCACCCCCACCTCGGCTCCCTTCGGCTCTTTCCGTCTACCTTCGGCTCTTTCCGGCACCCGTCGGCTCTTTACGGCTCCCGCATCGGGTTCCTTCGGCTTTTTACGACACCCATCGGCTCTTTACGGCTTTGCCCCCGGGTCCTTTCGGCTCTTTCCGCCTCCCTTCGGCTCTTTACGGCACCCATCGGCTCTTTACGGCTTTGCCCCCGGGTCCTTTCGGCTCTTTCCGCCTCCCTTCGGCTCTTTACGGCACCCATCGGCGCTTTACGGCTCCCCCCATCGGGTCCCTTCGGCTCTTTCCGCTTCCCTTCGGCTCCTTCCGCCGACCGGAAGTTCCCCCTGAGGCGACTTCCGGCGGGGACGGCGCGGCCATGGCGCTGCCGGCGGCGCTGCTGCGCGGGCTCCGAGCACCGGGTGCGGAGGGGGCGCGGAAATGGGGCAAAAACGGGCAAAAACGGGCAAAAAAGGGGTTAAAATCGGGGAAAAAACGGACTGGGACGGCTTTGCGGTGGGGCGCGGTGAAGGTCGTGGGGAGGGGAAGGGGGAATGGCCCCAAAAGCGGCTGAATTCGACCCAAAACGGGGTTCAAAACCCGTTAATACCCCCCAAAACCCCCATAGAACCCATTAATATCCCCATAGAACCCATTAATACCCCCCAAAACCCCATAGAACCCGTTAATACCCCCCAAAACCCCATGGAACCCATTAATACCCCCCAAAACCCCATAGAACCCATTAATACCCCCCAAAACCCCATAGAACCCATTAATACCCCCCAAAACCCCATAGAACCCGTTAATACCCCCCAAAACCCCATAGAACCCATTAATACCCCCCAAAACCCCATAGAACCCGTTAATACCCCCCAAAACCCCATAGAACCCATTAATACCCCCCAAAACCCCATAGAACCCATTAATACCCCCCAAAACCCCATAGAACCCATTAATACCCCCCAAAACCCCATAGAACCCATTAATACCCCCCAAAACCCCATAGAACCCATTAATACCCCCCAAAACCCCATGGAACCCATTAATACCCCCCAAACCCCCATAGAACCCATTAATACCCCCATATCCCCTCTAGAACCCCCTTTAGCCCCCCATATCCCCTATAGAGCTCCTTAACCCCCCCATGTCCCCTATAGGTCTTTAACCCCCCATATCCCCTATAGAACCCCCTTTAGCGCCCCATATCTCTTATAGGTCCCCTTAATCCTCCTATATGCCCTATAGAAGCCCTATAAACCCGCTATAGACCCCCTATATCCCCTATAGAATCTCTTAATCCCTCCATATCCCCTATAGAACCCCCTTTAGCCCCCATATCCCCTATAGAACCCCTTTAGCCCCCCGTATTTTCTATAGAACCCCTATAGAACCCCTTTAGCCTCCATATCCCCTATAGAACCCCTATAGAACCCCTTTAGCCCCCATATCCCCTATAGAACCCCTTTAGCCCCCTATATCCCCTATAGAACCTCTATAGAACCCCTTTAGCCCCCATATCCCCTATAGAACCCCTTTAGCCCCCCATATCCCCTATAGAACCCCTATAGATCCCCTTTAGCCCCCCATATCCCCTATAGAACCCCTATAGATCCCCTTTAGCCCCCATATCCCCTATAGAACCCCTTTAGCCCCCCATATCCCCTATAGAACCCCTTTAGCCCCCTATATCCCCTATAGAACCTCTATAGAACCCCTTTAGCCCCCATATCCCCTATAGAACCCCTCCCATATCCCCTATAGAACCCCTATAGATCCCCTTTAGCCCCCCCATATCCCCTATAGAACCCCTATAGAACCCCTTTAGCCCCCCCATATCCCCTATAGAACCCCTATAGAACCCCTTTAGCCCCCCATATCCCCTATAGAAACCCTATAGAACCCCTTTAGCCCCCATATCCCCTATAGAACCCCTTTAGCCCCCTATATCCCCTATAGAACCCCTATAGAACCCCTTTAGCCCCCATATCCCCTATAGAAACCCTATTGGTCCCCTTTAGCCCCCTATATCCCCTATAGAACCTCTATAGAACCCCTTTAGCCCCCATATCCCCTATAGAAACCCTATAGAACCCTTTAGCCCCCCATATCCCCTATAGAACCCCTATAGATCCCCTTTAGCCCCCCATATCCCCTATAGAACCCCTATAGATCCCCTTTAGCCCCCATATCCCCTATAGAACCCCTTTAGCCCCCCATATCCCCTATAGAACCCTTTAGCCCCCTATATCCCCTATAGAACCTCTATAGAACCCCTTTAGCCCCCATATCCCCTATAGAACCCAGGCCCCTTTAGCCCCCCATATCCCCTATAGAACCCCTATAGATCCCCTTTAGCCCCCCATATCCCCTATAGAACCCCTATAGATCCCCTTTAGCCCCCCATATCCCCTATAGAACCCCTATAGAACCCCTTTAGCCCCCCATATCCCCTATAGAACCCCTATAGAACCCCTTTAGCCCCCATATCCCCTATAGAACCCCTATAGAACCCCTTTAGCCCCCATATCCCCTATAGAACCCCAACTTTAGCCCCCTATATCCCCTATAGAACCCCTATAGAACCCCTTTAGCCCCCATATCCCCTATAGAACCCCTTTAGCCCCCTATATCCCCTATAGAACCTCTATAGAACCCCTTTAGCCCCCATATCCCCTATAGAACCCCTTTAGCCCCCCATATCCCCTATAGAACCCCTATAGATCCCCTTTAGCCCCCCATATCCCCTATAGAACCCCTATAGATCCCCTTTAGCCCCCATATCCCCTATAGAACCCCTTTAGCCCCCCATATCCCCTATAGAACCCCTTTAGCCCCCTATATCCCCTATAGAACCTCTATAGAACCCCTTTAGCCCCCATATCCCCTATAGAACCCCTTTAGCCCCCATATCCCCTATAGAACCCCTATAGATCCCCTTTAGCCCCCATATCCCCTATAGAACCCCTATAGATCCCCTTTAGCCCCCCATATCCCCTGTAGAACCCCTATAGATCCCCTTTAGCCCCCCATATCCCCTATAGAACCCCTATAGAACCCCTTTAGCCCCCCATATCCCCTATAGAACCCCTATAGAACCCCTTTAGCCCCCTATAGAACCCCTTATCCCCCCCATATCCCCTATAGAACCCCTTAAACCCCCATATCTCTTATAGAACCCATATAGACCCCCCCATATCCCGTATAGACTCCTATATCCTGTTCAGACTTCCTATATTTCCTATAGATTGTCTGTAAACCCCTTATATCTCCTATAGAACTTTGTATATCCCTTATAGATTCCTGTATTTCCTATAGACTTTCTATAGGTTTCTTATAGATCCGATGTATCTGTTATAGGTACCTGTATCCCCTATAGACTTTTAGATCTTCTATAGATCTTCTGTATTCCCTATAGGCTTTCTATAGACGCCCTATATTCCCTATAGACGTTCTGTATTCCCCCTTTATCCTCCCTATATCCCTTATATCCCACCTATATCCCCTATAGACCCCCTATATCCCTATAGACCACCTATATCCCCCCTATATCCCCTATATCCCCCCTATATCCCCTATAGTCTTTCTGTATCCCGTATAGACTCCCTATATCCTCCCTATATCCCCTATATCTCCCTTGTATTCCCTATATCCCCTATATCCCCCCTATATCCGCTATATCCCCCCTATATCCCCTATATCCCCCCTATATCCCCTATATCCCCCCTATATCCGCTATATCCCCCCTATATCCCCTATAGACCCCCTATATCCCCTATATCCCCCCTATATCCCCTATATCCCCCCTATATCCCCTATAGACCCCCTATATCCCCTATATCCCCCCTATATCCGCTATATCCCCCTATATCCCCTATATCCTCCCTATATCCCCTATATCCCCCCTATATCCCCCCTATATCCCCTATAGACCCCCTATATCTCCCCTATATCCCCTATATCCCCCCTATATCCCTCCTATATCCCCTATAGACCCCCTATATCCCCCCTATATCCCCCCTATATCCCCTATAGACCCCCTATATCCCCCCTATATCCCCTATATCCCCCCTATATCCCCCCCTATATCCCCTATATCCCCCCTATATCCCCTATATCCCCTATATCTCCCCTATATCCCCCCTATATCCCCTATATCCCCCCTATATCCCCCCCTATATCCCCTATATCCCCCCTATATCCCCTATATCCCCCCTATATCCCCTATATCCCCTATATCCCCTATATCCCCCCTATATCCCCCCTATATCCCCTATATCCCCCCTATATCCCCTCTATATCCCCCCTATATCCCCCTTATATCCCCCATATCCCCTATAGACCCCCTATATCCCCTATATCCCCCCTATATCCCCCCTATATCCCCTATATCCCCCCTATATCCCCCTATATCCCCTATATCCCCCCTATATCCCCCCTATATCCCCTATAGACCCCCTATATCCCCTATATCCCCCCTATATCCGCTATATCCCCCTATATCCCCTATATCCTCCCTATATCCCCTATATCCCCCTATATCCCCTATAGACCCCCTATATCTCCCCTATATCCCCTATATCCCCCCTATATCCCTCCTATATCCCCTATAGACCCCCTATATCCCCCCTATATCCCCCCTATATCCCCTATAGACCCCCTATATCCCCCCTATATCCCCCCTATATCCCCCCCTATATCCCCTATATCCCCCCTATATCCCCTATATCCCCCCTATATCCCCTATATCCCCTATATCCCCTATATCCCCCCTATATCCCCTATATCCCCCCTATATCCCCTCTATATCCCCCCTATATCCCCCTTATATCCCCCATATCCCCTATATCCCCCCTATATCCCCTATATCCCCCCTATATCCCCTATATCCCCCCTATATCCCCCCTATATCCCCTATATCCCCCCTATATCCCCCTATATCCCCTATATCCCCCCTATATCCCCCTATATCCCCCCTATATCCCCCCTCCTGACCCCCATTTCTTCCCCCCCCCAGCTCTCCGCAGCCTGAGCGCCCTGACCACGGTGAGTGTTACCTATGGGGGCCATATAGGGGGTATGGGGGGCCAGTATAGGGGGGGCCATAAAGGGGGGCCCATAGAGGGGCTATGGGGGTATTGGGGGGCCATAAAGGGGCTATGGGGGGGCTATAGGGGGCAACATAAAGGGGGTATGGGGGGGGCATAAAGGGGGTATAGGGGGGGCCTATAGAAGGACTATGGGGGTATTGGGGGGGCCATATAGGGGCTATGGGGGGGGCATAAAGGGGGTGTAGGGGGACCATATAGGGGCTATGGGGGGGGCATAAAGGGGGTATGGGGGAGGCCATATAGGGGCTATGGGGGGGGCCGTAAAGGGGCTATGGAGGGCCCATATAGGGCCTATGGGGGAGGTTTTGGGGGACCCATATATAGGCTATGGGGGGGTATAGGAGCCCCATATAGGGGCTATGGGGTCCCATATAGGGGCTATGGGGGGCCCATATAGGGGCTATGGGGCAGCAATAGGGCCCTGACCCCCGACCCCCCCCCCCCCAAAGCCCCCCCAGTGGCGGGGCCTGGCGGCCGAGGCCAAGAAGAGCTTCGTGAGGGACCGGCCCCACGTGAACGTGGGCACCATCGGGCACGTGGACCACGGCAAGACCACGCTGACGGCCGCCATCACCAAGAGTGAGGGGAGGGGGGAGAAATGGGGCCAAAAGGGGGGGTTTGGGGGCTTAAAATGGGGTGAAAAGAGGAGAAATTGGGAGTGGGGGGGGTAAGATGGTGGCTGAAGGGATCCAAGATGGCCGCCGGGGGGGGGGGCGCAAGATGGCGGCTGGAGGGGGTTAAAATGCCATCGAAACACCCCAAAAGTGCGAGGTTTTGGGTCAAAATGGGGAGAAAAAGGGGTTTTGGGCAAAAAGTTTGGGTTTTGGGGGCTTAAAATGGGGTAAAAAGAGGAGAAAGTGGGAGTGGGGGGGGCAGGATGGTGGCTGAGGGGATCCAAGATGGCCGCCGGGGGAGGGGGCCGCAAGATGGCGGCTGGAGGGGGTTAAAATGGCATCGAAACTCCCCAAAAGTGCGAGGTTTTGGGTCAAAATGGGGAGAAAAAGGGGTTTTGGGTCAAAAGTGGGGGTTCTGGGGCTTAAAATGGGGTGAAAAGAGGAGAAATTGGGAGTGGGGGGGGTAAGATGGTGGCTGAGGGGATCCAAGATGGCCGCCGGGGGAGGGAGCCGCAAGATGGCGGCTGGAGGGGGTTAAAATGGCATCGAAACTCCCCAAAAGTGCGAGGTTTTGGGTCAAAATGGGGAGAAAAAGGGGTTTTGGGCAAAAAGTGGGGGTTTGGGGGGCTTAAAATGGGGTGAAAAGAGGAGAAATTGGGAGTGGGGGGGGCAGGATGGTGGCTGAGGGGATCCAAGATGGCCGCCGGGGGAGCAAGATGGCGGCTAGAGGAGGTTAAAATGGCATCAAAACACCCCAAAAGTGACCCAAAATCTGGGGGGTTTGGGTCAAAATGGGGAGAAAAAGGGGTTTTGGTTAAAATGGGACCAAAAGTGGGGGTTTAGGGCGCTTAAAATGGGGTAAAAAGAGGAGAAATTGGGAGTGGGGGGGGCAGGATGGTGGCTGAGGGGATCCAAGATGGCCGCCGGGGGGAGCAAGATGGCAGCTGGAGGGGGTCTAAGTGGCATCAAAACACCCCAAAGTGCCCCAAAATCGGTGGGTTTTGGGTCAAAATGGGGAGAAAAAGGGGTTTTGGTGAGTTTCAATGGGGGGGGTGGTCCTAGAGGGGACAAGATGGCGGCCGAGGGGGGACAAGATGGCCGCCGGGGGTCTCAAAATGGCGGCCGGAAGTGCCCAAACCCCCTTCCCCCCCCCCAAACCCGGGGTGTTTTTGGCTCATTTTTGGGTTAAAATCGCCCGTTTTGGGTCCGTTTTGGGTCCGTTCCAGTCCTGGCGGCGTCGGGCAGCGCCCGGTTCCGTCCCTACGAGGAGATCGACAGCGCCCCCGAGGAGCGGGCCCGCGGCATCACCATCAACGCGGCCCACGTGGAGTACGCCACGGCCCGGCGGCACTACGCGCACACCGACTGCCCCGGCCACGCCGACTACGTCAAGGTGAGGCCAGGACGGGATTGGATTCGGGGCACCCAAAACGGGGGGGGTTGGACCTCAAAAATGGGCTCCTCGGGGGGGGTTTACCCCAAAATGGGGGTTGGTGCCAAAAAGGGACGTTTTTACCTCAAAAATGGCCAGTTTTAGCTCAAAAGTGAGGATTTTTGTGGTGAGAACGGGGCTTTTTTGCCCCAAAATTGGGTTTGGTGCCAAAAAGGGACGTTTTTACCTCAAAACCAGGAGTTTTTACCTCAAAAGTGAGGATTTTTGTGGCAGAATGGGGCTTTTTACCCCAAAATCGGGTTTGGTGCCAAAAATGGACCTTTTTTACCTCAAAAATGGCCAGTTTTAGCTCAGAAGTGAGGATTTTTGTGGTGAGAACGGGGCTTTTTACCCCAAAATCGGGTTTGTGGTGAAAAAGGGACGTTTTTACCTCAAAACCAGGAGTTTTTACCTCAAAACCAGGAGTTTTTACCTCAAAAGTGAGGATTTTTGTGGCAGAATGGGGCTTTTTACCCCAGAATCGGGTTTGGTGCCAAAAATGGACCTTTTTTACCTCAAAAATGGCCAGTTTTAGCTCAAAAGTGAGGCTTTTTGTGGTGAGAACGGGGCTTTTTACCCCAAAATTGGGTTTGGTGCCAAAAAGGGACGTTTTTACCTCAAAAAATTGCGTTTTTTACCTCAAAAATGGGTGTTTTTAGCTCAAAAGTGAGGATTTTTGTGGTGAGAACGGGGCTTTTTTACCCCAAAATGGGGTTTGGTGCCAAAAAGGGACGTTTTTACCTCAAAACCAGAAGTTTTTACCTCAAAACCAGGAGTTTTTACCTCAAAAGTGAGGATTTTTGTGGTGAGAACGGGGCTTTTTACCCCAGAATCGGGTTTGTGGTGAAAATGGACCTTTTTTACCTCAAAAATGGCCAGTTTTACCTCAAAAGTGAGGATTTTTGTGGTGAGAACGGGGCTTTTTTACCCCAAAATTGGGTTTGGTGCCAAAAAGGGACGTTTTTACCTCAAAAAGAGGACTTTTTACCTCAAAAATGGGCTTTTTTACGTCAAAAGTGAGGCTTTTTGTGGCAAGAACAGGGTTTTTTACCCCAAAATTGGGTTTGTAGTGAAAATAGACGTTTTTTACCTCAAAAATGGGTGTTTTTAGCTCAAAAATGAGGCTTTTCACTGAAAGAGTGGGGATTTTTACCTCAAAATTGCCTTTTTTTACCTCAAAAGTGACCTTGCCCCCCAGCTGTGGCCCTGCCCCATAGCCCTGCCCCATAGCCGTGTCCTTGCCCCACAGCCATGTCCCTGCCCCATGTCCCTGCCCCATAGCCCTGCCCCATAGCCGTGTCCCTGCCCCATAGCCCTGCCCCATAGCCGTGGCCCTGCCCCATAGCCCTGCCCCATAGCCCTGCCCCATAGCCATGCCCCATAGCCGCGTCCCTGCCCCATGTCCCTGCCCCATAGCCGTGTCCCTGCCCCACAGCCGTGTCCCTTCCCCATGTCCCTGCCCCATAGCCGCGTCCCTGCCCCATAGCCGTGCCCCATAGCAGTCCCCCTGGCCCATGGCTGTGTCCTTGCCCCATGTCCCTGCCCCATAGCCCTGCCCCATAGCCCTGTCCCTGCCCCATGTCCCTGCCCCATAGCCGTGTCCCTGCCCCATAGCCGTGCCCCATAGCAGTCCCCCTGCCCCATAGCTGTGTCCTTCCCCATGTCCCTGCCCCATAGCCCTGCCCCATAGCCCTGTCCCTGCCCCATAGCCGTGTCCCTGCCCCACAGCCATGTCCCTGCCCCATGTCCCTGCCCCATAGCCCTGCCCCATAGCCGCGTCCCTGCCCCATAGCTGTGTCCCTGCCCCATGTCCCTGCCCCATAGCCGTGTCCCTGCCGCATAGCCCTGCCCCACAGCCATGTCCCTTCCCCGTGTCCCTGCCCCATAGCCGCGTCCCTGCCCCATAGCCGTGCCCCATAGCCCTGCCCCATAGCTGCATCCCTGCCCCATAGCCCTGCCCCATAGCCGCGTCCCTGCCCCATAGCTGTGTCCCTGCCCCACAGCCGTGCCCCATAGCCGCATCCCTGCCCCATAGCCCTGCCCCATAGCTGCATCCCTGCCCCATAGCCGTGTCCCTGCCCCATAGCCGTGCCCCATGTCCCTGCCCCATATCCGCGTCCCTGCCCCATAGCTGTGCCCCATAGCCGCGTCCCTGCCCCATAGCCGTGTCCCTGCCCCACAGCCATGTCCCTTCCCCATGTCCCTGCCCCATAGCCGTGCCCCATGTCCCTGCCCCATAGCCATGTCCCTGCCCCATAGCCGTGCCCCATGTCCCTGCCCCATAGCCGTGCCCCATGTCCCTGCCCCATAGCCGTGCCCCATAGCCGTGCCCCATAGCCCTGCCCCATGTCCCTGCCCCATATCCGCGTCCCTGCCCCATAGCCGTGCCCCATGTCCCTGCCCCATAGCCGTGCCCCATAGCCGCGTCCCTGCCCCACAGAACATGATCACGGGGACCGCCCCCCTCGACGGCTGCATCCTGGTGGTGGCGGCCACCGATGGGCAAATGCCCCAGACCCGGGAGCACCTCCTGCTGGCCAAGCAGGTGAGGCCGTGGGGCAGCCGTGGGGCAGCCGTGGGGCGGGATGGGGGGAGATAGGGGGGGATATGGGGGGATATGGGGGGGATATGAGGGGGATATGGGGGTCTATGGGGGGGATATGGGGGGGATATGGGGGTCTATGGGGGGGATATGGGAGGGATATGGGGTGATATGGGGGGATATGAGGGGGATATGGGGGTCTATGGGGGGGATATGGGGGGATATGAGGGGGATATGGGGGGGATATGAGGGGGATATGGGGGGGATATGGGGGTCTGTGGGGGGGATATGGGGGTCTATGGGGGGGATATGGGGGGACACATGGGGGGGACATGGGGGGATATGGGGGGATATGGGGGTCTATGGGGGGGATATGGGGGTCTGTGGGGGGGATATGGGGGGGATATGGGGGTCTATGGGGGGGATATGGGGGGACACATGGGGGGGACATGGGGGGATATGGGGGGATATGGGGGTCTATGGGGGGGATATGGGGGGGATATGGGGGGGATGTGGGGGGTATATGAGGGGGATATGGGGGGGATATGGGGGTCTATGGGGGGAGACATGGGGACATGGGGGTCTGGGGGGGGATATGGGGGAGATATGAGGGGGATATGGGGCAGGATAGGGGGGGATATGGGGGTCTATGGGGGGGGTATGAAGTGGATATGGGGGAGATATGGGGGTCTATGGGGGGCGATGGGGGGGTTGTGGGGGTCTATGGGGGGATATGGGGGTCTATGGGGCCCTATGGGGGGGCTATGGGGGTATAGGGTGATCTATGGAGGGTTTATGGGGGTCTATGGGGAGGCTATGGGGCAGGCATGGGGCGCTATGGGAGGTCTGTGGGAGCCTATGGGGGGGATCTATGGGGGGGATCTGTGGGGGGGCTGTGGGGTCTATGGGGCAGCCATGGGGTGCTATGGGGGTATATGGGGGGCTATGGGGGGTATATGGAGGGGTCTGTGGGGGTCTATGGGTCTCTATGGGGTCTCTATGGGTCTCTATGGGGTCTCTATGGGTCTCTATGGGTCCCTGTGGGTCTCTATGGGTCTCTATGGGGTCTCTATGGGTCCCTATGGGTCCCCAATGTGCCGCTATGGGTCCCAATGGGTCTCTGTGGGTCTCTATGGGTATCTATGGGGTCTCTATGGGTATCTATGGGGTCTCTATGTGTCCCTATGGGTCCCCAATGTGCCACTCTGGGTCTCTATGGGTCTCTGTGGTTCTCTATGGGTCTCTATGGGGTCTCTATGGGTCCCTATGGGTCTCTATGGGTCTCTGTGGGGTCTCTATGGGTCTCTATGGGGTCTCTATGGGTCTCTATGTGTCTCTATGGGTCTCTATGTGTCTCTATGGGGTCCCTATGGGTCCCTATGGGTCTCTATGGGGTCTCTATGGGTCTCTATGGGGTCTCTATGTGTCCCTATGGGTCTCTATGGGTCTCTATGTGTCTCTATGGGTCTCTATGTGTCTCTATGGGGTCTCTATGGGTCCCTATGGGTCTCAATGGGGTCTCTATGTGTCTCTATGTGTCCCTATGTGTCTCTATGTGTCCCAATGTGCCGCTATGGGTCTGCCCCACAGGTGGGGGTCCGCCACGTCGTGGTCTACGTGAACAAGGCCGACGCCGTCTCGGACCCCGAGCTCCTGGCGCTGGTGGAGCTGGAGCTGCGCGAGCTCCTCACCGAGTTCGGGTTCGACGGCGACCGGACCCCCATCGTCATAGGGTCAGCCCTATGTGCGCTGCAGGTACCCACCGTGCCCCATAGCGACCCATAGAGACCCATAGAGACCCATAGGGATCACATAGAGAGCCATAGGGAGCCATAGAAACCACATAGAGAGTCATAGAAACCTCATAGAGACCAATAGTGACCCATAGAAACCCCATAGAGACCCATAGAGACCCATAGCGACCCATAGAGACCCATAGGGATCACATAGAGAGCCATAGGGAGCCATAGAAACCACATAGAGAGTCATAGAAACCTCATAGAGACCAATAGTGACCCATAGAAACCCCATAGAGACCCATAGAGACCCATAGCGACCCATAGAGACCCATAGAGATCACATAGAGAGCCATAGGGAGCCATAGAAACCACATAGAGAGTCATAGAAACCTCATAGAGACCAATAGTGACCCATAGAAACCCCATAGAGACCCATAGCGACCCATAGAGACCCATAGCGACCCATAGCGACCCATAGAGACCCATAGCGACCCATAGAGACCCATAGAAATCACATAGGGAGCTATAGATGGGGTGGGAGCTCCTCACCGAGTTCGGGTTCGATGGGGACCGGACCCCCATCGTCATAGGGTCAGCCCTATGTGCGCTGCAGGTACCCACCGCTCCCCATAGCGACCCATAGCGACCCATAGAGACCCATAGGGATCACATAGAGAGCCATAGGGAGCCATAGAAACCACATAGAGAGTCATAGAAACCTCATAGAGACCAATAGTGACCCATAGAGACCCCATAGAGACCCATAGAGACCCATAGAGACCCATAGAGACCCATAGCGACCCATAGAAATCACATAGGGAGCTATAGATGGGGTGGGAGCTCCTCACCGAGTTCGGGTTCGACGGGGACCGGACCCCCATCGTCATAGGGTCAGCCCTATGTGCGCTGCAGGTACCCACCGCGCCCCATAGCGACCCATAGCGACCCATAGAGACCCATAGGGATCACATAGAGAGCCATAGGGAGCCATAGAAACCACATAGAGAGTCATAGAAACCTCATAGAGACCCATAGCGACCCATAGAGACCCATAGCGACCCATAGAGACCCATAGCGACCCATAGAGACCCATAGCGACCCATAGAGACCCATAGGGATCACATAGAGAGCCATAGGGAGACATAGAAACCACATAGAGAGTCATAGAAACCTCATAGAGACCCATAGTGACCCATAGAGACCCCATAGAGACCCATAGAGACCCATAGCGACCCATAGAGACCCATAGGGATCACATAGAGAGCCATAGGGAGACATAGAAACCACATAGAGAGTCATAGAAACCTCATAGAGACCCATAGTGACCCATAGAGACCCCATAGAGACCCATAGTGACCCATAGAGACCCCATAGAGACCCATAGCGACCCATAGAGACCCATAGCGACCCATAGAAATCACATAGGGAGCTATAGATGGGGTGGGAGCTCCTCACCGAGTTCGGCTTCGACGGCGACCGGACCCCCATCGTCATAGGGTCAGCCCTATGTGCGCTGCAGGTACCCACCGCGCCCCATAGCGACCCATAGAGACCCATAGAGATCACATAGAGAGCCATAGGGAGACATAGAAACCACATAGAGAGTCATAGAAACCTCATAGAGACCAATAGTGACCCATAGAGACCCCATAGCGACCCATAGAGACCCATAGAGACCCATAGAGACCCATAGCGACCCATAGAGACCCATAGGGATCACATAGAGAGCCATAGGGAGACATAGAAACCACATAGAGAGTCATAGAAACCTCATAGAGACCAATAGTGACCCATAGAGACCCCATAGCGACCCATAGAGACCCATAGAGACCCATAGAGACCCATAGCGACCCATAGAGACCCATAGAAATCACATAGGGAGCTATAGATGGGGTGGGAGCTCCTCACCGAGTTCGGCTTCGACGGCGACCGGACCCCCATCGTCATAGGGTCAGCCCTATGTGCGCTGCAGGTACCCACCGCGCCCCATAGCGACCCATAGAGACCCATAGGGATCACATAGAGAGCCATAGGGAGCCATAGAAACCACATAGAGAGTCATAGAAACCTCATAGAGACCAATAGTGACCCATAGAAACCCCATAGAGACCCATAGCGACCCATAGCGACCCATAGAGACCCATAGGGATCACATAGAGAGCCATAGGGAGCCATAGAAACCACATAGAGAGTCATAGAAACCTCATAGAGACCAATAGTGACCCATAGAGACCCCATAGAGACCCATAGAGACCCATAGAGACCCATAGCGACCCATAGAGACCCATAGCGACCCATAGAGACCCATAGAGACCCATAGAAATCACATAGGGAGCTATAGATGGGGTGGGAGCTCCTCACAGAGTTCGGGTTCGACGGGGACCGGACCCCCATCGTCATAGGGTCAGCCCTATGTGCGCTGCAGGTACCCACCGCGCCCCATAGCGACCCATAGCGACCCATAGAGACCCATAGGGACCCATAGAGACCCATAGGGACCCATAGGGATCACACAGGGAACCAGAGAGAGCCATAGGGAGCCATAGAGAGCCCATAGGGACCCATAGGAACCACATAGACCCCCATAGCCCCCCCATAACCCCCCCATAGACCCCCACAGCACCCCATTGACCCCCTTAGCCCCCCATAGCACCCCCATTGACTCCCATAGCCCCCCCATAGAACACCCATAGCCCCCCATTGACCCCTAGACACCCCCCATTGACCCCCATAGCGCCCACAAGCCCCCCATAGACCCCCCATAGCCCCCCATAGACCCCCCATAGCCCCCCATAGACCCCCCATAGCCCCCCATAGCCCCCCATAGACCCCCCATAGCCCCCCATAGACCCCCCATAGCCCCCCATAGACCCCCCATAGCCCCCCATATCCCCCCATAGCCCCCTATAGCCCCCCATAGACCCCCACAGTGCACCTGTAGCCACCCACTGACCCCTAGACACCCCCCATTGACCCCCATAGCCGCCCATAGAGCCCCCCATAGACCCTCCATAGCCCCCTATAGCTCCCCCATAGACCCCCATAGCACACCCATAGATGCCCCATATCCCCCCATAGACCCCCCATAGCCCCCCATAGACCCCCCATAGCCCCCCATAGACCCCCCATAGACCCCCCATAGCCCCCCATAGACCCCCCATAGCCCCCCTATACCCCCCCCATAGCCCCCCCCATCCCCCCCCACAGTGACCCACAGATTCTCTCCCCCCCCCCCTGCCCCACAGGACCGGGACCCGGAGCTGGGCCTGCAGTCGGTGCTGAAGCTCTTGGACGCCATCGACACCCACATCCCGCTGCCCCCCCGCGACCTGGAGCGCCCCTTCCTGCTGCCCGTGGAGGCCGTGCACTCCATCCCCGGTACTGCCCCATAGCGCCCCATAGCGCCCCATAGCGCCCCATGGTGCCCCATAGCGACCCATAGCGATCCATGGTGCCCCATAGCGATCCATGAGACCCCAGAGCGACCCAGAGCGCCCCTTCCTGCTGCCCGTGGAGGCCGTGCACTCCATCCCCGGTACTGCCCCATAGCGCCCCACAGCGACCCATAGCGATCCATGAGACCCCAGAGCGACCCAGAGCGCCCCTTCCTGCTGCCCGTGGAGGCCGTGCACTCCATCCCCGGTACTGCCCCATAGCGCCCCATAGCGACCCATAGCGACCCATAGCGATCCATGGTGCCCCATAGCGACCCATAGCGACCCATGGTGCCCCATAGCGACCCATAGCGATCCATGAGACCCCAGAGCCACCCAGAGCGCCCCTTCCTGCTGCCCGTGGAGGCCGTGCACTCCATCCCCGGTACTGCCCCATAGCGCCCCATAGCGCCCCATAGCGACCCATGGTGCCCCATAGCGACCCATAGCGATCCATGGTGCCCCATAGCGATCCATGAGACCCCAGAGCGACCCAGAGCGCCCCTTCCTGCTGCCCGTGGAGGCCGTGCACTCCATCCCCGGTACTGCCCCATAGCGCCCCATAGCGACCCATAGCGACCCATGGTGCCCCATAGCGACCCATAGCGATCCATGAGACCCCAGAGCCACCCAGAGCGCCCCTTCCTGCTGCCCGTGGAGGCCGTGCACTCCATCCCCGGTACTGCCCCATAGCGCCCCATAGCGCCCCATAGCGCCCCATAGCGCCCCATAGCGATCCATGAGACCCCAGAGCCACCCAGAGCGCCCCTTCCTGCTGCCCGTGGAGGCCGTGCACTCCATCCCCGGTACTGCCCCATAGCGCCCCATAGCGCCCCATAGCGCCCCATAGCGACCCATAGCGCCCCATAGCGCCCCATAGCGACCCACAGCGCCCCATAGCGATCCATGAGACCCCAGAGCCACCCAGAGCGCCCCTTCCTGCTGCCCTTGGAGGCCGTGCACTCCATCCCCGGTACTGCCCCATAGCGCCCCATAGCGCCCCATAGCGACCCACAGCGCCCCATAGCGACCCATAGCGATCCATGAGACCCCAGAGCGCCCCTTCCTGCTGCCCGTGGAGGCCGTGCACTCCATCCCCGGTACTGCCCCATAGCGCCCCATAGCGACCCACAGCGCCCCATAGCGACCCATAGCGATCCATGAGACCCCAGAGCCACCCAGAGCGCCCCTTCCTGCTGCCCGTGGAGGCCGTGCACTCCATCCCCGGTACTGCCCCATAGCGCCCCATAGCGCCCCATAGCGACCCATGGTGCCCCATAGCGACCCATAGCGATCCATGAGACCCCAGAGCCACCCAGAGCGCCCCTTCCTGCTGCCCGTGGAGGCCGTGCACTCCATCCCCGGTACTGCCCCATAGCGCCCCATAGCGCCCCATAGCGCCCCATAGCGCCCCATAGCGATCCATGAGACCCCAGAGCGCCCCTTCCTGCTGCCCGTGGAGGCCGTGCACTCCATCCCCGGTACTGCCCCATAGCGCCCCATAGCGACCCACAGCGCCCCATAGCGACCCATAGCGATCCATGAGACCCCAGAGCCACCCAGAGCGCCCCTTCCTGCTGCCCGTGGAGGCCGTGCACTCCATCCCCGGTACTGCCCCATAGCGCCCCATAGCGACCCATAGCGACCCATGGTGCCCCATAGCGACCCATAGTGCCCCATAGCGATCCATAGCGACCCATAGCGACCCATAGCGCCCCATAGCGATCCATGAGACCCCAGAGCCACCCAGAGCGCCCCTTCCTGCTGCCCGTGGAGGCCGTGCACTCCATCCCCGGTACTGCCCCATAGCGCCCCATAGCGCCCCATAGCGACCCATGGTGCCCCATAGCGCCCCATAGCGATCCATGAGACCCCAGAGCCACCCAGAGCGCCCCTTCCTGCTGCCCGTGGAGGCCGTGCACTCCATCCCCGGTACTGCCCCATAGCGCCCCATAGCGCCCCATAGCGCCCCATAGCGCCCCATAGCGATCCATGAGACCCCAGAGCGCCCCTTCCTGCTGCCCGTGGAGGCCGTGCACTCCATCCCCGGTACTGCCCCATAGCACCCCATAGCGCCCCATAGCGACCCATGGTGCCCCATAGCGACCCATAGTGCCCCATAGCGATCCATAGCGACCCACAGCGCCCCATAGCGATCCATGAGACCCCAGAGCCACCCAGAGCGCCCCTTCCTGCTGCCCGTGGAGGCCGTGCACTCCATCCCCGGTACTGCCCCATAGCGCCCCATAGCGACCCACAGCGCCCCATAGCGACCCATAGCGATCCATGAGACCCCAGAGCCACCCAGAGCGCCCCTTCCTGCTGCCCGTGGAGGCCGTGCACTCCATCCCCGGTACTGCCCCATAGCGCCCCATAGCGCCCCATAGCGACCCACAGCGACCCATGGTGCCCCATAGCGACCCATAGCGACCCATAGCGACCCATGGTGCCCCATAGCGCCCTATGACGTCCCGGAGCGACCCAGAGCGCCCCTTCCTGCTGCCCGTGGAGGCCGTGCACTCCATCCCCGGTACTGCCCCATAGCGCCCCATAGCGACCCATAGCGACCCATAGCGCCCCATAGCGCCCCATAGCGATCCATGAGACCCCAGAGCGCCCCTTCCTGCTGCCCGTGGAGGCCGTGCACTCCATCCCCGGTACTGCCCCATAGCGCCCCATAGCGACCCATAGCGCCCCATAGCGATCCATGAGACCCCAGAGCCACCCAGAGCGCCCCTTCCTGCTGCCCGTGGAGGCCGTGCACTCCATCCCCGGTACTGCCCCATAGCGCCCCATAGCGACCCATAGCGCCCCATAGCGCCCCATAGCGACCCATAGCGATCCATGAGACCCCAGAGCGCCCCTTCCTGCTGCCCGTGGAGGCCGTGCACTCCATCCCCGGTACTACCCCATAGCGCCCCATAGCGCCCCATAGCGACCCATAGCGACCCATAGCGCCCCATAGCGCCCCATAGCGACCCATAGCGCCCCATAGCGCCCCATAGCGACCCACAGCGCCCCATAGCGATCCATGAGACCCCAGAGCCACCCAGAGTGCCCCTTCCTGCTGCCCGTGGAGGCCGTGCACTCCATCCCCGGAACTGCCCCATAGCGCCCCATAGCGCCCCATAGCGACCCATGGTGCCCCATAGCGACCCATAGCGATCCATGAGACCCCAGAGCCACCCAGAGCGCCCCTTCCTGCTGCCCGTGGAGGCCATGCACTCCATCCCTGGTACTGCCCCATAGCGCCCCATAGCGACCCATAGCGACCCATAGCGCCCCATAGCGCCCCATAGCGCCCCATAGCGACCCACAGCGCCCCATAGCGATCCATGAGACCCCAGAGCCACCCAGAGCGCCCCTTCCTGCTGCCCGTGGAGGCCGTGCACTCCATCCCCGGTACTGCCCCATAGCGCCCCATAGCGACCCATAGCGACCCACAGCGACCCATAGCGCCCCATAGCGACCCATTGGGGACCCATTGGGACCCATTGAAATCCATTGGGGACCCATTGAAACCCATTGGGACCCATTGAAACCCATTGAGCCCCATTGAACCCCATCTCCTTCCATGTCCCCCCCTGACCCCCATCTTCCCCCTGACCCCCATCTTCCCCTGCCCCCCATGTCCCCTCTGACCCCCATCTCCCCCCATCTCCCCCCATCTCCCCCCATGTCCCCCTGCCCCCCATCTCCCCCCATCCCCCCCTGCCCCACATCTCCCCCCATCTCCCCCCATCTCCCCCCATGTCCCCCCTGCCCCACATCTCCCCACATCTCCCCCCATGTCCACCCTGCCCCCCATCTCCCCCCATGTCCCCCCTGCCCCACATCTCCCCCCATCTCCCCCCATCTCCCCCTGCCCCCCATCTCCCCCCATGTCCCCCCTGCCCCACATCTCCCCACATCTCCCCCCATGTCCACCCTGCCCCACATCTCCCCCCATGTCCACCCTGCCCCCCATCTCCCCCCATGTCCCCCCTGCCCCACATCTCCCCACATCTCCCCCCATGTCCCCCCTGCCCCACATCTCCCCCCATGTCCCCCTGCCCCACATCTCCCCCCATGTCCCCCTGCCCCACATCTCCCCCCTGCCCCACATCTCCCCCCATGTCCCCCTGCCCCACATCTCCCCCCATCTCCCCCCATGTCCCCCTGCCCCCCATCTCCCCCCATGTCCCCCCATGTCCCCCTGCCCCCCATCTCCCCCCATCTCCCCCCATCTCCCCCTGCCCCACATCTCCCCCCATCTCCACCCATGTCCCCCCTGCCCCACATCTCCCCCCATGTCCCCCTGCCCCCCATCTCCCCCCATGTCCCCCCATGTCCCCCTGCCCCCCATCTCCCCCCATCTCCCCCCATCTCCCCCTGCCCCACATCTCCCCCCATCTCCCCCCATGTCCCCCCTGCCCCCCATCTCCCCCCATGTCCCCCTGCCCCACATCTCCCCCCATCTCCCCCCATGTCCCCCCTGCCCCACATCTCCCCCCATCTCCCCCCATGTCCCCCTGCCCCACATCTCCCCCCATCTCCCCCCATGTCCCCCTGCCCCACATCTCCCCACATCTCCCCCCATGTCCCCCTGCCCCCCATCTCCCCCCATGTCCCCCTGCCCCACATCTCCCCCCATCTCCCCCCATCTCCCCCCATGTCCCCCTGCCCCACATCTCCCCCCATCTCCCCCCATCTCCCCCCATGTCCCCCTGCCCCACATCTCCCCACATCTCCCCACATCTCCCCCCATGTCCCCCTGCCCCCCATCTCCCCCCATGTCCCCCTGCCCCACATCTCCCCCCATCTCCCCCCATCTCCCCCCATGTCCCCCTGCCCCACATCTCCCCCCATCTCCCCCCATCTCCCCCCATGTCCCCCCTGCCCCACATCTCCCCCCACGTCCCCCCTGCCCCACATCTCCCCCCATGTCCCCCCTGCCCCACATCTCCCCCCTGCCCCACATCTCCCCACATCTCCCCCCATGTCCGCAGGCCGGGGCACGGTTGTCACGGGCACGCTGGAGCGCGGCACCATCCGCAAGGGGGACGAGTGCGAGATCCTGGGCTACAACCGGCACCTGCGCTCCGTGGTCACCGGTGAGACCCATAGAGACCCATAGGGACCCATAGAGACCCATAGAGACCCATAGAGACCCATAGAGACCCATAGGGACCCATAGAGACCCATAGAGACCCATAGGGACCCATAGAGACCCATAGAGACACATAGAGACCCATAGAGACACATAGAGACCCATAGAGACCCATAGAGACCCATAGAGACCCATAGAGACCCCATAGGGACCCATAGAGACCCATAGAGACACATAGAGACCCATAGAGACACATAGAGACACATAGGGACACATAGAGACCCATAGAGACACATAGAGACCCATAGAGACCCATAGAGACACATAGAGACCCATAGAGACCCATAGAGACCCATGGAGACCCATAGAGACCCATAGAGACCCATAGAGACACATAGAGACACATAGAGACACATAGGGACCCATAGAGACCCATAGAGACCCATAGAGACCCATAGAGACCCATAGGGACCCATAGAGACCCATAGAGACCCATAGAGACCCATAGAGACACATAGAGACCCATAGAGACCCATAGAGACACATAGGGACCCATAGAGACCCATAGAGACCCATAGAGACACATAGAGACACATAGGGACCCATAGAGACACATAGGGACCCATAGAGACCCATAGAGACCCATAGAGACCCATAGGGACCCATAGAGACCCATAGAGACCCATAGAGACCCATAGAGACCCATAGAGACACATAGAGACCCATAGAGACCCATAGAGACACATAGGGACCCATAGAGACCCACAGCGACCCACGAAGACCCATAGAGAACCATAGAGACACATAGAGAGACATGGAGACCCATAGAGACCCATAGAGACCCACAGCGACCCACAGCAACCCATAGAGACCCACAGCAACCCACGGGGACACATAGAGACCCATAGAGACCCATAGGAACACATAGGGACCCACATAGACCCATAGAGACCCACAGGGACCCATAGAGATACATAGAGAGACATGGAGACCCATAGAGACCCGCAGCGACCCACGGGGACCCACAGGGACCCATAGAGACCTATGGGGACACGTAGAGACACATAGAGACCCATAGGGACACACGGGGACACATAGGGACCCATAGAGACCCATGGGGACCCACAGCGACCCACGGGGACCCCCCATATCCCCCCATTGCCCCCCATAGACCCTCTATAACCCCCCATTGCCCCCCCATAGACCCCCATAGCACACCCAATAGACCCCCCATATCCCCCCATAGTCCCCCTATAGACCCCCTATAACCCCCCATTGCCCCCCCATAGCACCCCCCCATACCCCCCCATAGCCCCTCTATATCCCCCCATAGAGCCCCCATATCCCCCCATAGGCCCCTCATAGACCCCTATAGACCCCCATAGCCCCCCCATAGACCTCCATAGACCCCCCATAGACCCCCATATCCCCCCATAGCCACCCATAGACCCCCTATATCCCCCCATAGTCCCCCTATAGACCCGCTATAACACCCCATAGACCCCCATAGCACCCATAGCACCCCCCATATCCCGCCCCATAGCACCCATAGCACCCCCATATCCTGCCCCATAGCACCCCTATCCCGCCCCATAGCACCCATATCCCGCCCCATAGCACCCCTATCCCGCCCCATAGCACCCATATCCCACCCCATAGCACCCATATCCCGCCCCATAGCACCCCTATCCCGCCCCATAGCACCCATATCCCACCCCATAGCACCCATATCCCGCCCCATAGCACCCATAGCCCCCCATATCCCGCCCCGTAGCACCCCTATCCCACCCCATAGCACCCCATATCCTGCCCCATAGCACCCATATCCCACCCCATAGCACCCATATCCCGCCCCATAGCCCCCCATATCCCGCCCCATAGCACCCATAGCACCCCCCATATCCTGCCCCATAGCACCCCCCATATCCTGCCCCATAGCACCCATAGCACCCCCCATATCCTGCCCCATAGCACCCATAGCACCCCTATCCCGCCCCATATCCTGCCCCATAGCACCCCTATCCCGCCCCATATCCTGTCCCATAGCACCCATAGCCCCCCATATCCTGCCCCATAGCACCCATAGCCCCCCATATCCTGCCCCATAGCACCCATAGCCCCCCATATCCTGCCCCATAGCACCCCTATCCCGCCCCATATCCTGCCCCATAGCACCCCTATCCCACCCCATATCCCGCCCCATAGCACCCCTATCCCACCCCATATCCCGCCCCATAGCACCCATAGCCCCCCCTATCCCGCCCCATAGCACCCCTATCCCACCCCATAGCACCCATATCCCGCCCCATAGCACCCATATCCCGCCCCATAGCACCCCCCATATCCTGCCCCATAGCCCCCCATATCCCGCCCCATAGCCCCCCATATCCCACCCCGTAGCACCCCTATCCCACCCCATAGCACCCCATATCCTGCCCCATAGCACCCATATCCCACCCCATAGCACCCCATATCCTGCCCCATAGCACCCATATCCCACCCCATAGCACCCCATATCCCGCCCCATAGCACCCATAGCACCCCTATCCCGCCCCATATCCTGCCCCATAGCACCCCTATCCCGCCCCATATCCCGCCCCATAGCACCCATATCCCGCCCCATAGCACCCCATATCCCGCCCCATAGCACCCATATCCCACCCCATAGCCCCCCATATCCCGCCCCATAGCCCCCCATATCCCGCCCCATAGCCCCCCATATCCCACCCCATAGCACCCATATCCCGCCCCATAGCCCCCCATATCCTGCCCCATAGCACCCATATCCCGCCCCATAGCACCCATATCCCGCCCCATAGCACCCATATCCCACACCATAGCCCCCCATATCCCGCCCCATAGCCCCCCATATCCCGCCCCATAGCACCCATATCCCGCCCCATAGCCCCCCATATCCCACCCCATAGCACCCATATCCCACCCCATAGCACCCCTATCCCGCCCCATAGCCCCCCATATCCTGCCCCATAGCACCCCTATCCCGCCCCATAGCACCCATATCCCGCCCCATAGCACCCATATCCCGCCCCATAGCCCCTCATATCCCGCCCCATAGCACCCATATCCCGCCCCATAGCCCCTCATATCCCGCCCCATAGCCCCCCATATCCCGCCCCATAGCACCCATAGCCCCCCCTATCCCGCCCCACTGCGCCCCATTGCAGGCATTGAGATGTTCCACAAGAGCCTGGCGCACGCCGAGGCCGGGGACAACCTGGGGGCGCTGCTGCGGGGGCTGCGGCGGGAGGAGCTGCGCAGGGGAATGGTTGTGGGGCAGCCGGGGAGCCTGAGCACGCACCAGAGGGTGGAGGCCCAGGTAAAGGGGGCGCTGGGGCAGCTGTGGGGCAGCTGTGGGGCTGAGTTATGGGGCTGGATATGGGGTGGGTATGGGGTGGTTATGGGGCAGCTGTGGGGCTGGGGATGGGGCAGAAATGGGGCTGGATATGGGGTGGGTATGGGGCAGCAATGGGGTGGGTATGGGGTGGTTATGGGGCTGGATATGGGGTGGGTATGGGGCAGCTGTGGGGTGGGCATGGGGCAGCTGTGGGGCTGGGGATGGGGCAGAAATGGGGCTGGATATGGGGTGGGTATGGGGCAGCAATGGGGTGGGTATGGGGTGGTTATGGGGCTGGATATGGGGTGGGTATGGGGCAGCTGTGGGGTGGGCATGGGGCAGCTGTGGGGCTGGGGATGGGGCAGAAATGGGGCTGGATATGGGGTGGGTATGGGGCAGCAATGGGGTGGGTATGGGGTGGTTATGGGGCTGGATATGGGGTGGGTATGGGGCAGCTGTGGGGTGGGCATGGGGCAGCTGTGGGGCTGGGGATGGGGCAGAAATGGGGCTGGATATGGGGTGGGTATGGGGCAGCAATGGGGTGGGTATGGGGTGGTTATGGGGCTGGATATGGGGTGGGTATGGGGCAGCTGTGGGGTGGGCATGGGGCAGCTGTGGGGCTGGGGATGGGGCAGAAATGGGGCTGGATATGGGGTGGTTATGGGGCAGCAATGGGGTGGGTATGGGGTGGTTATGGGGCTGGATATGGGGTGGGTATGGGGCAGCTGCGCAGGGGAATGGTTGTGGGGCAGCCGGGGAGCCTGAGCACGCACCAGAGGGTGGAGGCCCAGGTAAAGGGGGCGGTGGGGCAGCTGTGGGGCAGAAATGGGGCTGAGTTATGGGGCTGGATATGGGGTGGTTATGGGGCAGCAATGGGGTGGGTATGGGGTGGTTATGGGGCAGCTGTGGGGTGGGCATGGGGCTGGGTATGGGGTTAGTGTGGGGCAGAAATGGGGCTGGGTATGGGGTGGGCATGGGGCAGCAATGGGGCTGGGGATGGTGTGGGTATGGGGCAGCAATGGGGTCGGTATGGGGCTGGGTTATGGGGCAGAAATGGGCAGCAATAGGCTCTATGTGGGGTAGCAATGGGGATGGGGCAGCCATGGGGTGGGTTATGGGGGTGGTTATGGCACAGCAATGGGGCTGGGGATGGGGTGGGGATGCGGCTTAGTTATGGGGCAGCAGTGGGGTGGGAATGGGGCTAAGTTATGGGGCAGCAATGGGGTGGGAATGGGGCTAAGTTATGGGGCAGCAGTGGGGTGGGAATGGGGCTAAGTTATGGGGCAGCAATGGGGTGGGAATGGGGCTAAGTTATGGGGCAGCAGTGGGGTGGGAATGGGGCTAAGTTATGGGGCAGCAATGGGGTGGGAATGGGGCTGTTATGGGGCAGCAATGGGGTGGGAATGGGGCTAAGTTATGGGGCAGCAATGGGGTGGGAATGGGGCTAAGTTATGGGGCAGCAGTGGGGTGGGAATGGGGCTAAGTTATGGGGCAGCAATGGGGTGGGAATGGGGCTAAGTTATGGGGCAGCAATGGGGTGGGAATGGGGCTAAGTTATGGGGCAGCAGTGGGGTGGGAATGGGGCTAAGTTATGGGGCAGCAGTGGGGTGGGAATGGGGCTAAGTTATGGGGCAGCAATGGGGTGGGAATGGGGCTAAGTTATGGGGCAGCAGTGGGGCTGGGTATCGGGTAGCAATGGGGCTGGGTATGGGGTGGGGATGGAGCTGAGCAATGGGGCAGCAATGGGGTGGGGATGGGGCAGCTGTGCAGCTGGCAATGGGGGGGCCGGTTATGGGTCCTGCTATGGGTCAGCCCCACATCTTCCCCATAGGTTTACGTCCTGAGCCCGCAGGAGGGGGGGCGCCACAAGCCCTTCGCGGCCCATTACACCCCAGTGATGTTCTCGCAGACGTGGGACATCGCCTGCCGCGTCATCCTGCCCCCCAACAAGGTGAGCTATGGGGCAGCCCACACGTCCTGCCCCACACACCCTGCCCCACATACCCTGCCCCACAACAAGGTGAGCTATGGGGCAGCCCCACACATCCTGCCCCCACATACCCTGCCCCCCAACAAGGTGAGCTATGGGGCAGCCCCACACATCCTGCCCTCACACACCCTGCCCCCCAACAAGGTGAGCTATGGGGCAGCCCCACACATCTGCCCCACATACCACTGCCCCACACACCCTGCCCCACAACAAGGTGAGCTATGGGGCAGCCCCACACACCCTGCCCCACACACCCTGCCCCACATACCCTGCCCCCCAACAAGGGAGCTATGGGGCAGCCCCACACGTCCTGCCCCACATACCCTGCCCCCCAAACAAGGTGAGCTATGGGGCAGCCCCACACATCCTGCCCCACACACCCTGCCCCCCAACAAGGTGAGCTATGGGGCAGCCCCACACATCCTGCCCCACATACACTGCCCCACACACCCTGCACCCACAACAAGGTGAGCTGTGGGGCAGCCCCACACATCCTGCCCCACATACACTGCCCCCACACACACATGCCCCACACACCTGCCCCCCAACAAGGTGAGCTATGGGGCAGCCCCACACATCCTGCCCTACATACCCTGCCCCACATACCCTGCCCCCAACAAAGTGAGCTATGGGGCAGCCCCACACATCCTGCCCCACATACCCTGCCCCCAACAAGGTGAGCTATGGGGCAGCCCCACACGTCCTGCCCCACACACCCTGCCCCCCATACCCTGCCCCCCAACAAGGTGAGCTATGGGGCAGCCCCACACGTCCTGCCCCATATACCCTGCCCCACATACCCTGCCCCACATACCCTGCCCCCCAACAAGGTGAGCTATGGGGCAACCCCACACGTCCTGCCCCACACACCCTGCCCCCGGCTCTGCACCATAGCCCAGCCCCACAACCCCATAGCCCAGCCCCATGATTCCACAACCTAGCCCCACAACCCCGCCCCATGGCTCTGCCCCATAACCCAGCCCCACATCCCAGCCGCACAGCTCTGCCCCCTAACTGTGCCCCATAACCCAGCCCCACATCCCAGCCCACAGCTCTACCCATAACCCAGCCCCACAAACCCACATCCCAGCCCCACAACCCATATCCCAGCCCCACATCCCAGCCCCGCAGCTCTGCCCCATAACCCTGCCCCACAACCCCACATCCCAGCCCCACAACCCCACATCCAGCCCACAGCTCTGCCCCCATAACCCTGCCCACAACCCCACATCCCAGCCCCATAACCCCACATCCCAGCCCCACATCCCAGCCCCACAGCGCTGCCCCACAACCCACATCCCAGCCCCACAGCTCTACCCCATCACCCAACCCCCACAACGCCACATCCCAGCCCCACAGCTCTGCCCCATAACCCAGCCCCCACATCCCCGCCCCACATCACAACCCCACATCCCAGCCCCACAGCTCTGCCCCATAACCCAGCCTCACAACCCCACATCCCAGCCCCACATCTCTGCCCCATAACCCAACCCCACATCCCAGCCCCACATCCCAACCCCACATCCCAGCCCCCACATCTCTGCCCCATAACCCAGCCCCACATCCCAGCCCCACATCTCTGCCCCATAACCCAGCCCCACATCCCAGCCGCACAACCCTACATCCCAGCCCCACATCCCTGCCCATAACCCAGCCTCACAACCCCACATCCCAGCCCTACATCTCTGCCCCATAACCCAGCCCCACATCCCAGCCCCACATCTCTGCCCCATAACCCAGCCCCACATCCCAGCCCCACATCTCTGCCCCATAACCCAGCCCACATCCCAGCCCCACATCCCAACCCCACAACCCACATCCCAGCCCCACATCTCTGCCCCATAACCCAGCCCCACATCCCAGCCCCACATCTCTGCCCCATAACCCAGCCCCACATCCCAGCCCCACATCTCTGCCCCATAACCCCCCCCTTCCTCCCCCCACCCAGGAGCTGGTTCTGCCCGGGGGAGGACACGCGCTGACGCTGCTGCTGCGCCAGCCAATGGTGCTCGAGGTGGGGCAGAGATTCACCCTCCGCGACGGCGCCCGCACCATCGGCACCGCGTCGTCACCCGCGCCCTGCCCCCCAACCCCGAGGACCAGGAGCTCACCTGGGGGTAGCGGGGCCTGCCCCCCAACCTCTGCCCCATTGAGACCTATGGGGCCCTGCCCCCCAACCTCTGCCCATTGAGACTGTGGGGCCCTGCCCCCCAACCTCTGCCCCATTGAGACCTATGGGGCACAGCCCCTGCCCCATTGAGACCTATGGGGCCCTGCCCCCCAACCCTCTGCCCCATTGAAACCTATGGGGCCCTGCCCCCCAACCTCTGCCCCATTGAGACCTGTGGGGCCCTGCCCCCCAACCTCTGCCCATTGAACCTATGGGGCCCTGCCCCCCAACCTCTGCCCCATTGAGACCTATGGGCTCTGCCCCCAACCTCTGACCCCATGAAACCTGTGGGGCACAGCCCCTGCCCCATTGAAACCTATGGGGCCCTGCCCCCCAACCTCTGCCCCATTGAGACCTGTGGGGCCCTGCCCCCAACCTCTGCCCCATTGAGACCTGTGGGCCCTGCCCCCATCTCTTGCCCCATAGAGACACATGGGGCCCAACCCCCACCCATGCCCTACCTCTGTAGATCCCATCCCACCCAACTGTGCCCCATAGAGAGACGAGGTCCCCATCCCCCTAGACCTATGGGGCCCATCCCCATCGTGCCCCACAAACAATGGGGGCCCATCCCCCACCCCATAGACACTCACAGAGCCCATCCCCCACTGATGGGCTGCTATGAAGGGGGAGGGGCGCGGTTCAATAAATTAAAATAAAAATCAAATTTTTTTCTAAATTTCCGAATTTTTTTTTAATTTATTCAAGCTTTTTTGGGGGGTGGGGATTTTTGCCCCTCCCCCCACCCCCTTTCAAGCCCCTCCCCCCCCATCCGAGTCACGTGAACAGCTCAAAATCCACCCGAGGCGCAGTCGTAGAAGGGCCCCGGCGCTGGGGGAGGGGCAGCACCGCCGGCACCGCGCCCCTCCCCCCTCGAAGTAGCCCTGCGACGCCCACTCCTGATTGGACGCGACGGCAGTGACGTCAGACAAGGGGCGGGGCTGAATGCTCGCACCCCCTTTAAGCCCCTCCCCTCTTTAAGCCCTTCCCCCCTTTAAACCCCTCCCACTTTAAGCCCCTCCCCACCCATTAACACCCCACTCCTTTAAGCCCCTCCCACTTTAAGCCCCTCCCCTTTAACCCCATTAACCTCTCCCCTTTTAAGCCCCTCCCCCTTTAAGCCCATCCCATCCCATTCAAACCCCTCCTTCTTTAAGCCCCTCCCACTTTAAGCCCCTCCCTTTAACCACATCCCCTTTAACCCATTAACTCCTCCCCCTTTTTAAGCCCTCCCCCTTTAAGCCCTCCCACCCATTAACCCCCCTCCTTTAAGCCCCTCCCACTTTAAGCCCCTCCCCTTTAACCACATCCCCCTTTACTCCTCCCCCTTTTAAGCTCCTCCCCTTTAAGCCCCTCCCCACCCCTTCAACCCCCTCCTTTAAGCCCCTCCCCCTTTACCCCCCTTTTTAAGCCCCCTCCCACCCCTTCAAACCCCTCCCCTTTAAACCCCTCCCATTTTAAGCCCCTCCTCTTTAAGACCCCCCTTTACCCCCCTTTTAAAGCCCCTCCCACCCCTTCAAACCCCTCCCTTTAAGCCCCTTCCTTTAGCCCCTCCCACCCCTTCAACCCCCCTCCTTTAAGCCCCTCCCCCTTTACCCCCCTTTTTAAGCCCCTCCCACCCCTTCAAACCCCTCCCCTTTAAACCCCTCCCTTTTAAGCCCCTTCCCTTTAAGCCCTTCCCACCCTTTAAGCTCCTCCAATCCCTCCCTTTAAGCCCCTCCCCTTTTAAGCCCCTCCCCTTTAAGCTCCTCCCCTTTAAGCCCCGCCCTCTTTAGCCCCGCCCCCCTTCACCTGCATTTGGGCGCTGCTGAGGGCCACATAGACGTCCCCCCTCTTCCCACGTGTATTCCCACAGCACTTCCCCTGGGGGGAGGGGAGGAGGCTTGAGGGGGTGGGGGAGGGGCCGATCCCAAAGCCCCTCCCCCACCCCCCCATAAAAAAAACTCATTCATTTTTACCCCTCCCCCACATTAAAAACCCACATCCCCCACCCCTCCCCCACCCCATAGGGCCCCCGCCTTTGACCCCTCCCCCACCCCATTTCTGCCCCCATAGACCCCTCCCCCACCCCATTTCCCCCCCCTTACCCCATTTCCCACCCCATAGACCCCTCCCCCACCCCATTTCCCCCATTCCCCACACCATAGACCCCTCCCCCACCCCATTCCCCCCCTTTACCCCCATTTCCCACCCCATAGACCCCTCCCCCACCCCATTCCCCCCCTTTACCCCCATTTCCCACCCCATAGACCCCTCCCCACCCCATTTCCCCCCCTTTATCCCCATTTCCCACCCCATAGACCCCTCCCCACCCCATTTCCCCCCCTTTTCCCCCATTTCCACCCCATAGACCCCTCCCCCACCCCCATATCCCCCCTTTACCCCCTCCCCCACCCCATTTCCCCCCTTATCCCCATTTCCCACCCCATAGCCCCCCACCCCCATTCCCCCTTCCCCCCAACCCCCTCCCCCCCATAACCCCTCCCCACTACCTTACCCTATATCCCCCCATTTCCCCCCTCCCCCACCCCATCCCCCCCCCCCCTCACCTTCCTCCTTCCCCTCCCCCTTCTCCTCCTCCTCTTCCTCCTCCTCCTCCCCCACCGCGAACACATCACGGCTCCACTTCCGCCCTGCAATGGGGGGGATCCCCCTTCCCCTCCCCCCCGCCCCACATCCCCCCTCCCCCGCCCCATTTCCTCCCTCATCCTCCCCTCCAACCCCTCCCTGGCCTCCTCCAAGGCCCCCAACACCCCCCTGGCCACCAGCCCGTCGGCCACGGCGACCAATCGGAGCAGCTCTGGAGGGGCGGGGGGCGGGGCTTCCCTCTTGACCCGCCCCCTCCCCCCTTCCCCCTCCCCTTTCTTCCCCCTCCTTCTTTTTCCCCCTCCTCCCCTTGGCCCCCCCCCCCCTTCTCCTCCTCCTCCTTTTGGCCACGCCCCCTCCCGCTTGGCCCGCCCCTGCCCCCTTGGCCCCGCCCCCCAGCCGCCGTAGGGCGCCCCCCACCGTCTCCCCCGGCCGCAGCAGCTCCAGCGCCTCCGCCAGCAGCTCCCGGAGGGGGGAGGGGAAGGCGGGGGGGACGCGATGACGTCACGGCGCGGGGGGCGGGGCTTGATGGGGAGCTATGGGGGGAGGGGAAGGAAAGAGGGAGGGGGGAGGGGTCTATGGGGTTTCCAGCCCCATTTTCCCCCATTTTCGCCCCATTTCCTCCACAATTCCCCTCCCCACCCCCACTTCCTGCCCCATTCCCCTCCCCCACATCCAGCCCCATTCCCACCCCATCCCCTCCCCCACCCATCCCCCTCCCCCTCCAATCCCCCCATCCCCCCCCATTGCCCCCCCATTCCCCCTTCCCCCTCCCCCCCATTCCCCTCCCCCTCCAACCCCCCTTCATCCCCCCATCCCCCACCCCATCCCCCATTTCCCTTCCATCCCCCCCCATTTTCCCCCCTATTCCCCTCCCCCTCCATCCCCCCTCATCCCCCACCCCACTTCCCCCCTCCCCCACCCCAACCCCCCCCATCCCCCCCCCATTTTCCCCCCCATTCCCCTCCCCCCACCCCCCCTCCCCCCTCCCCCTCCTCACCCCCTCGATGGCCTCGAGCCAGGGGTCAGGGGGCGGGGCCGGGTGCCACAGGAAGTGACCCTGGGGGTCAAAGTGCCCCTCGGCCAGCTCGGGACCGAGGTCAAACGGGGTCACGGGCCCCTCCCCCTCCTCTGGCCCCGCCCCTTCCGGGGAGCCCCCGGAGCCTGCGGGAGGGGGGGGGGAGGGGTTAGAGACACAGAGCGAGACCCACCCATAGAGACCCATAGAGACCCCATAGGGACCCATAGAGACCCATAGAGACTCCATAGGGACCCATAGAGACCCATAGAGACCCATAGAGACCCCATAGGGACCCATAGAGACTCCATAGGGACCCATAGAGACCCATAGAGACTCCATAGGGACCCATAGAGACCCATAGAGACCCCATAGGGACCCATAGGGACCCATAGAGACCCATAGAGACCCCATAGGACCCATAGAGACCCCATAGGGACCCATAGAGACCCATAGAGACACATAGAGACACATAGAGACCCATAGAGACCCATAGGGACCCATAGAGACCCATAGAGCCCCATAGAGACCCATAGAGACCCCATAGGGACCCATAGGGACCCATGGAGACCCCATAGAGACCCATAGAGACTCCATAGAGACCCATGGAGACCCCATAGAGACCCCATATGGACTCACAGAAACCCCATAGAGACCCATAGGGACCCATAGAGACCCCATAGAGACTCCATAGAGACCCATAGAGACCCCATACAGACCCCATAGGGACCCACAGAGACCCATAGAGACCCATAGAGACCCATAGAGACCCCATAGAGAGCCCATAGGGACCCACAGAGACCCACAGAGACCCATAGAGACCCATAGAGACCCATAGGGACCCATAGAAACCCATAAGGACCCATAGAGACCCATAGGGACCCATAGAGACCCCATAGAAACCCATAGAGACTCCATAGGGACCCATAGAGACCCATGGAGACCCCACAGAGACCCCATATGGACTCAAAGAAACCCCATAGAGACCCATAGGGACCCATAGGGACCCATAGGGACACATAGAGACCCATAGAGACCCCATAGAGACCCATAGGGACCCCATAGGGACCCATAGGGACCCCATGGAGACCCCATAGAGACCCCATAGAGACCCTTTCATAGAGACTCCATAGAGACCCATGGAGACCCCATAGAGACCCCATATGGACTCACAGAAACCCCATAGAGACCCATAGAGACCCATAGGGACCCATAGAGACCCCATAGAGACTCCATAGAGACCCATAGAGACCCCATAGAGACTCCACATAGACCCATAGAGACCCCATAGAGACCCCCTAGGGACCCACAGAGACCCATAGAGACCCATAGAGACCCATAGAGACCCCATAGAGACCCCATAGGGACCCACAGAGACCCACAGAGACCCATAGAGACCCATAGAGACCCATAGGGACCCATAGAAACCCATAAGGACCCATAGAGACCCATAGGGACCCATAGAGACCCCATAGAAACCCATAGAGACTCCATAGGGACCCATAGAGACCCATGGAGACCCCACAGAGACCCCATATGGACTCAAAGAAACCCCATAGAGACCCATAGGGACCCATAGGGACCCATAGGGACACATAGAGACCCATAGAGACCCCATAGAGACCCATAGGGACCCATAGAGACCCCATAGAGACTCCATAGAGACCCCATAGAGACCCATAGGGACCCATAGAGACCCCATAGAGAACCACAGAGACCCCATAGGGACCCCATAAAGACCCCATAGGGACCCCATAAAGACCCCATAGAGACTCATAGAGACCCCACAGAGACCCATAGGGACCCCATAGGGACCCATAGGGACCCATAGAGACCCCATCAAGACCCACAGGGACCCATAGAAACCCACAGAGACCCACAACTGACCCATAAGTGACACACAGAGTCCTATAGAGACCCTCAGAGCCCCATAGACACCCCCCCATAGCCCCACAAGTGCCCCACAGCTGCCCTATAAGTGCTGCAATGGCAAACAGCACCTCAACGGAGCCCCCGCAGACCCCCATAGACACCCCATAGACCCCCATAGACACCCCATAGACCCCCATAGACCCCCATAGACACCCCATAGACCCCCATAGACACCCCATAGACCCCCATAGGCACCCCACAGCTGCCCCATACGTGCCGTGGGGCAGGAAGAGGTTGAAGTCGCTGCTGCCTTCGGCCTCGTCCTCGTCCTCCTCCTCCTCATCGCTGTCCAATGAGGGCTGCCCTGGGAAGCGGCTCATGGCCTGCCCCATAGAGACCCACAGAGACCCATTGAGACCCATTGAGACACATAGAGACCCATAGACACCCATAGACACCCCATAGAGACCCATAGAGACCCCATAGAGACCCATAGACACCCCTTAGAGAGCCACAGAGACCCCATAGAGACCCATTGAGACCCATTGAGACCCATAGAAACCCCATAGATACCCCATAGAGACCCATAGACACCCCTTAGAGACCCATTGAGACCCATTGAGACCCATAGAAACCCCATAGATACCCCATAGAGACCCACAGACACCCCATAGAGACCCCATAGAGACCCCATAGAGACCCCATAGAGACCCATAGAGACCCCATAGAGACCTATAGAGACCCCATAGAGACCCCATAGAGACTCATAGAGACCCATAGAGACCCCATAGAGACCCCATAGAGACCCATAGAGACCCCATAGAGACCCATAGAGACCCCATAGAGACCCATAGAGACTCATAGAGAGACCCATAGAGACCCATAGAGACCCATAGAGACCCCATAGAGACTCATAGAGACCCATAGAGACCCCATAGAGACCCATAGAGACCCCATAGAGACCCCATAGAGACCCATAGAGACCCATAGAGACCCCATAGAGACACATAGAGACCCATAGAGACCCCATAGAGACCCATAGAGACCCATAGAGACCCCATAGAGACCCCATAGAGATCCCATAGAGACCCATAGAGACCCATAGACACCCCATAGAGACCCATAGAGACCCAAAGAGACCCATAGAGACCCCATAGAGACACACAGAGACCCATAGAGACCCCATAGAGACCCATAGAGACCCATAGAGACCCCACAGAGACCCATAGAGACCCATAGACACCCCATAGAGACCCATAGAGACCCATAGAGACCCATAGAGACCCCATAGAGACACACAGAGACCCATAGAGACCCCATAGAGACCCATAGAGACCCATAGAGACCCCATAGAGACCCATAGAGACCCATAGAGACCACATAGAGACACACAGAGACCCATAGAGACCCCATAGAGACCCATAGAGACCCATAGAGACCCCATAGAGACCCCATAGAGACCCCATAGAGACCCATAGAGACCCATAGACACCCCATAGAGACCCATAGAGACCCATAGAGACCCATAGAGACCCCATAGAGACACACAGAGACCCATAGAGACCCATAGAGACCCCATAGAGACCCATAGAGACCCATAGAGACCCCATAGAGACCCCATAGAGACCCCATAGGTCCCCACTGACCCTCTTGCGGGGGGGGAGGGGCGGCTCCTCCTCTAGCCCCTCCCCCTCGAGGTCAGCGAAGGTCACGGAGCGCTTGGCCATTGGGCAGCTTCATTGGCGGCAATTAATGAGCAATTAATAACAATTAATGAAGGATTAATAACCACTAATGAGCAATTAATAACCACTGAATAATTAATAACCATTAATGATCAGTTAATGATACATTAATAACGATTAATGGTTACTTAATAACCACTAATGAGCAATTAATAACCATTAATGAGTAATTAATAACCATTAATGATCAGTTAATGATACATTAATAACGATTAATGGTTACTTAATAAACACTAATGAGCAATTAATGATCTATTGATAACCATTAATGGCTGATTGATAAAGATTAATGATCAATTAATAGCAATTAGTGACCATTAACAGCCATTAATGAAGGATTAATAATTACCAATTAATGTGTAATTAATGGTTGATGATCTCTTCATAACGATTACGAGCAATTAACGATTCATTAACAAAGATTAATGGCCCGTTAATGAATGATTAATAATCGTTAATGAGCAATTAATGAGGAATAATGATCAGTTAATGTGTAATTAATGAACAGTTAATGATGAATTGATAATGATTAATGATTAATTAACGAACAATAACCATCCCTAAAGAACAATAACCCTAACCCCCATTAACGCTAATTAAACCCTAATTAAACCCAATTAACCTTTAGAAATCCTACTTAACGCAATTAATCATTAAACCCTAATTAACCCCCATAAACCCCAAATTAACCCCAATTAACCCCTAATTAACCCCCATTAATCCTTATTAACCCCTAATTAATTCAATTAACCCTAATTAAACCCTATTAATCCATATGAACCCCCATTAATAGCTCTCAATAACCCCCATTAACCCTAATTAAACCATCATTAACGCAAATTACTCCTTATTAACACCGAATTAACCCTTATCAACCCCTAATTAACCCAATTAACCCTCATTAACCCCAATTAACCCTCATTACTCCCTCATTAACCCCCTAAGCAGCCTAAATGGATGCTCATGGGCCCCCCCAGTTAATCCCCACTTAGCCCTCTTTAATTAATGAGCCCTCATTAGCCCATTAATAACCATTAATGCCCCCATTAACCCCTCATTAACCCCTAATTGACCCTTATTATACCCTAATTAACCCCGCATTAACCACCATTGACCCTAATTGACCCCTTATTAACCCCAATTAATCCCCACTTATCCCTCCTTAATTAATGAGCCCTCATTAGCCCATTAATAACCATTAATGCCCCCATTAACCCTTCATTAACCCTTAATTAACCCCTAACTGACCCTTATTAAACCCCATTAACCCTAATTAAGCCCTAATTGACCCTTATTAAACCCTAATTAAGCTCTCATTAACCCCCATTAACCCTAATTGACCCCTTATTACCCCCAATTAGCCCTCCTTAATTAATGAGCCCTCATTAGCTCATTAATAACCATTAATGCCCCCATTAACCCCTCATTAACCCCTAATTAACAGCCCAATTCACCCCTATGGACCCCCATTGACCCCCATTGACCCCCACTGACCCCAATTAATGCTTCCCGCCCTCATTAACATATGCAAATGAGCCGCTCCTTACCCGCGGCCTCCCGATCCGCGCTCGGCCGAGGCGGCGCTTCCGGCCGGAAGTGGCGTCATCAACGGGCGCCGGCCGCTTCCGGCCGCGCCTTAAAGGGGCCGCGGCCGCAATCAGCCGCCCCATAGAGACCCCATAGGGACCCATAGGGATCCATAGGGACCCATAGAGACCCCATAGAGACCCCATAGGGACCCCATGGGGACCCATAATGACCCATTGAGACCCCATAGAGACCCATAGAGACCCATAGAGACCCATAGGGACCCATTGAGACCCCATAGAGACCCTTAGAGACCCCATAGGGACCCCATAGAGACCCATAGAGCCCCATAGGGACCCATAGAGACCCATAGAGACCCCATAGAGACCCTTAGAGACCCCATAGGGACCCCATAGAGACCCATAGAGACCCCATAGGGACCCATAGAGACCCATAGAGACCCCATAGAGACCCATAGAGACCCCATAGGGACCCATAGAGACCCATAGAGACCCCATAGGGACCCCATGGGGACCCATAGAGACCCATTGAGACCCCATAGAGACCCATAGGGACCCATAGAGACCCTTAGAGACCCCATAGGGACCCCATAGAGACCCATAGAGACCCCATAGGGACCCATAGAGACCCATAGAAACCCCATAGGGACCCTATAGATACCTCATAGAGACCCCATAGAGCCCCTGTCCTGCTGCATAGAGCCCCATAAGGCCCCTATCCCTCCACATAGGGCCCCATAGAACCCCATAGAACCCCATAGAGCCCCATAGAGCCCCATATCCCACCGCATAGAGCCCCATAGGCCCCATATTCTGCCCCATAGTGCCCCATAGGTGCCATATCCTGCCCGTTAGAGCCCATACCCTGCCCCATAGAGACCCATAGGGCCCATGACCTGCCCCATAGAGACCCATAGGCCCCATATCCTGCCCCTTAGCGCCCATATCCTGCCCCATAGAGACCCATAATGCCCATAACCTGCCCCATAGAGCACCATAGGGCCCATATCCCGCCCCATAAAACCCCATAGAGGCTGTATCCTGCCCTTAGAGCCCATATCCTGACCCATAGAGACCCATAGGGCCCATAACCTGCCCCATAGAGCCCCATAGCCCCCATATCCCGCCCCACAGAGCCCCATAGAGGCCACAGCCTGCCCCATAGAGAACCACGGTCTGTATTGAACTCGATGCATTGCCACCGATGTGGGGCAGGATGTGGGGCACTGACTCACTCCCCCCCCCCCAGCCCCATAGCTGCCCCATAGATGGGGTCTATTGGGGGTCCCCCGTGGGGGTCTCCATTAACTCCTTGTAGCGGCGCCGGAAGAAGCCGATCTATGGGGCAGAGATGGGGGGGGGAGGAGGGGTGAGGGTTCTGCCCCATAGAGACCCATAGAGACCTATAGAGTCCCCATAGAGACCCCATAGAGACCCCATGGAGACTCATAGAGACCCATAGGGACCCCATAGCAACCCATAGAGACCCATAGGGACCCATAGGGACCTCGTAGAGACCCATAGAGACCCATAGAGACCCATAGAGACCCATAGGGACCTCGTAGAGACCCATAGAGACCCATAGAGACCCATAGATGGGGCCTGGCCCCTAGGCCTGCCCCATAGCTCACCTTGTAGAGCCCCACGGAGAGCAACGCCAGGAGCAGGAGCCCCACCAGGGACCCCCCCACGATGTGGGGCAGGAGGTTGGGGGGCTCCAAGTGCTCCAGCTCGGTCTGGAGCTGTGGGGCAGAGAGGAGGGGATGTGGGGCTGCCCCATAGAGACCCATAGGGAGCCATAGAGCAACATAGAGACCCATAGAGACCCCATAGAGACCCATAGAGACCCATAGAGACCCCATAGAGACCCATAGACCCTCATAGCCCCACCACACCCCCCCATAGCTCCCCCATAGCAGCCCCATAGCCCCCCTATAGACCCCCATAGACCCTCATAGACCCCCCCATAGCCCCCCCATCGACCCCCATAGACCCCCATAGACCCCCATAGACCCCCATAGACCCCCATAAACCCCCCCATAGCCGCCCCATAGCCCCCCCAGAGACCCCCATAGACCCCCATAGACCCCCCCATAGCCCCCCATCGACCCCCATAGACCCCCATAGACCCCCCCATAGCCGCCCCATAGCCCCCCCATAGCCCCCCATCGACCCCCATAGACCCCCATAGACCCCCCCATAGCCGCCCCATAGCCCCCCCATAGACCCCCATAGACCCCCATAGACCCCCATTCCCCCCCATAGACCCCCATAGACCCCCATTCCCCCCCATAGACCCCCATAGACCTCCATAAACCCCCCCATAGCCCCCCATAGGCCCTCATTGCCCCCTGCCCCATAGCGCTATGGGGCTCACCTGCAGCTCCTGCTGCCCCCCCACGTTCTGGAACTGCCCCACATCGAAGCCCAGCCGGGCCGAGCTCTGCAGCAGCGCCTTGGGGAGCCCCAGCTGGGGGGAGATGGGGGGCAGAGACCCATAGGGACCCCATAGACCCCCATAGACCCCCATAGACCCCCGTAGACCCCCATAGACCCCCCATAGGCCCCTATAGACCCCCATAGCCCCCCCCATAGCCCCCCCATAGGCCCCCCATTGGCCCCCATAGACCCCCCATAGACCCACCATAGCCCCCCCATAGGCCCCCATAGGACCCCATAGACCCCCCATAGACCCCCATAGACCCCCATAGACCCCCATAGTCCCTCCATAGCCCCCCCATAGACCCCCATAGACCCCCATAGACCCCCCATAGACCCCCATAGACCCACCATAGACCCCCATAGACACCCGTAGCCCCCCCATAGGCCCCCATAGACCCCCCATAGACCCCCCATAGACCCCCCATAGACCCCCCATAGGCCCCCATAGACCCCCCATAGACCCCCCATAGACCCCCCATAGACCCTCCATAGGCCCCCATAGACCCCCCATAGACCCCCCATAGACCCCCCCATAGACCCCCATAGGCCCCCATAGACCCTCCATAGACCCCCCCATAGACCCCCATAGCCCCCCCCATAGACCCCCATAGCCCCCCATAGACCCCCATAGCCCCCCCATAGACCCCCATAGCACCCCATAGACCCCCAGAGACCCCCAGAGACCCCCAGAGACCCCCATAGACCCCCCAGAGACCCCCCATAGACCCCCATAGACCCCCATTTCCCACCTCCTTCATCCACCCCATAGCGAGGTCCCCCCCGACCCCAAACCGCAGCACTTGGGGGGGCTCCATGGGGCCCATTTGGCACCGGAACTCCATACACGAGGCCACGGTGCAGTTCTATGGGGCAGAGATGAGGGGCAGAGCTTATGGGGCCCATAGGGATCCACAGGGAGCCATAGAGACCCATAGAGACCCCATAGAGACCCCATAGAGACCCCTTAGAGACACATAGGGGCCCTTAGAGACCCCATAGAGACCCCATAGAGACCCCATAGCCACCCACAGAGACCCCATAGAGACCCATAGAGATCCATAGAGACCCATAAGGACCCCATAGAGACCCATAGAGACCCATAGAGACCCATAGAGACCCCATAGAGACCCATAAGAACCCCATAGAGACCCATAGAGACCCATAGAGACCCCATAGAGACCCATAAGGACCCCATAGAGACCCATAGAGACCCCATAGAGACCCATAAGGACCCCATAGAGACCCATAAGGACCCCATAGAGACCCATAGAGACCCATAGAGACCCCATAGAGACCCCATAGAGCCCCCCCATTGCCTCTCACCACCAGGGGGCGCTGCTGCAGCCTTCGGGTTCCATCTGGGTCTGTTGGGGGGTGCTCGGAGACCTCTTGGCACCGGCTCGGGTCCTATGGGGCAGCCCCATAGGGATGCTCTATGGGGCTCTATGGGGCTCTATGGGGGTCTATGGGGGTCTATGGGGATCTATGGGGGTCTATTGGGGGTCTATGGGGATCTATGGGGGTCTATCGGGGGTCTATGGGGATCTATGGGGGTCTATTGGGGATCTATGGGGGGTCTATGGGGGTCTATTGGGATCTATGGGGGGTCTACGGGGATCTATGGGGGTCTATGGGGGTCTATGGGGGGTCTATGGGGATCTATGAGGCTCTATGGGGGTCTATTGGGGGGTCTATGGGGATCTACGGGGGGTCTATGGGGGGTCTATGGGGGTCTATTGGGGGTCTATGGGGATCTATGGGGGTCTATGGGGGTCTATGGGGGTCTATGGGGATCTATGGGGGGTCTATGGGGGTCTATTGGGGGTCTATGGGGATCTACGGGGGGTCTATGAGGGTCTATGGGGATCTATGGGGGGTCTATGGGGGTCTATGGGGGGTCTATGGGGATCTATGAGGCTCTATGGGGGTCTATGGGGGTCTATTGGGGGGTCTATGGGGATCTGCGGGGGGTCTATGGGGGGTCTATGGGGGTCTATTGGGGGTCTATGGGGATCTATGGGGGTCTACGGGGGTCTATGGGGGGTCTATGGGGGGTCTATGGGGGTCTATGGGGGTCTATGGGGGTCTATGGGGCGTCTATAGGGGGTCTATGGGGGGTCTATGGGGATCTATGGGGGGATATGGGGATCTGTGGGGGGTCTATGGGCGTCTATGGGGGTCTATGGGGCGTCTATAGGGGGTCTATGGGGGGTCTATGGGGATCTATGGGGGGTCTATGGGGATCTATGGGGGGTCTATGGGGGTCTATTGGGGGTCTATGGGGATCTACGGGGGGTCTATGAGGGTCTATGGGGATCTATGGGGGGTCTATGGGGGGTCTATGGGGGTCTATGGGGGGTCTATGGGAGTCTATGGGGGGTCTATGGGGGGTCTATGGGGTGTCTATGGGGGTCTATAGGCGTCTATGGGGGGTCTATGGGCGTCTATGGGGGGTCTATGGGCGTCTATGGGGGTCTATGGGGGGTCTATGGGGGGTCTATGGGGATCTATGGGAGATCTATGGGGGGTCTATGGGGGGATATGGGGATCTATGGGGGGGCTATGGGGCGTCTATGAGGGTCTATAGTGCCGTCCTCACCTGGTTATGGGTCAGCTTCAGCCTGCCCCATAGCAGGGTGTTCCCCAGCGCCGTGGGTACCAGGAAGGTGACGTTGATGGGGAGGCCCCTTTGGCCCCATAACTTCACCTATGGGGCAGAGAAGGGCCTTGAGGGGGGGGCACCATCTCCTGCCCCACACTTATGGGGCTGTGCCCCACACCCGGCTCTCACCTCGTAGTGGTGAATCAATGGGCCTGAAGTGGGGCTGGTGGAGGAGCTGTAGGGCAGAGACAGATGTGGGGCAGGAACATTGGGACCCATGGATGTGGGGCTGGGGTGCATTGGACCCATAGATGTGGGGCTGGGGGCCCGTTGGACCCATAGATGTGAGTCAGGGACATTGGGACCCATAGATGTGGGGCTGGGAACACATTGGACCCATAGATGTGGGGCTGGGGGCACATTGGCCCCATGGATGTGGGGCTGGGGATGTATTGAACCCATAGATGTGGGGTTGGGGGCCCGTTGGACCTGTAGATGTGGGGCTGGGGACACACTGGACCCATAGATGTGGGGCTGGGGGCACACTGGACCCATAGATGTGGGGCTGGTACCTGCTGATGCTCAGGAACACCCCGATCTTCACTGGGACTTGGACGCGTTGCTTGGGGGGCGCCGGTGCCGAAGAGTCACTGGTGGGGGGACATGGGCACCCAATGGGCACCCAATGGGATTAATGGGCACCCAATGGGGTTAATGGCACCCAATGGGGTCAATGGGCACCCAATGGGGTCAATGGCACCCAATGGGGTCAATGGGTGCTCAATGGGGTCAATGGGCACCCAATGGGGTCAATGGGCACCCAATGGGGTCGATGGGCACCCAATGGGGTCAATGGCACCCAATGGGGTCAATGGGCACCCAATGGGGTCGATGGGCACCCAATGGGGTCAATGGCACCCAATGGGGTCAGTGGCACCCAATGGGGTCAATGGGCACCCAATGGGGTCAATGGGCATCCCATGGGGTCAATGGGCACCCAATGGGGTCAATGGCACCCAATGGGGTCAATGGCACCCAATGGGGTCAATGGGCACCCAATGGTCAATGGGCACCCCATGGGGTCGATGGGCACCCAATGGGGTCAATGGCACCCAATGGGGTCAATGGGCACCCAATGGGGTCAATGGGCATCCCATGGGGTCAATGGGCACCCCATGGGGTCGATGGGCACCCAATGGGGTCAATGGCACCCAATGGGGTCAATGGGCACCCAATGGTCAATGGGCATCCCATGGGGTCAATGGGCACCCAGTCGGGTCAATGGGCACCCAATCGGTTCAATGGGCACCCCATGGTCTATGGACTTCGTTGCCCCCCATGGCCATGGGTCCCTGGTCACCTGCTGGCCTTGGCCACCACCTCCAGCACCGGCCCCAGCTTGGCATCAAGGGGCACATCCAAGGTGACGACGAACACGACCTACGGGGACGCCCATAGGGGTGATCTATGGGGTCTGGAGGGCATCTATGGGGGGGTTGTGGGATGAAATGGCGGTCCTATGGGGTCTGGAGGGCATCTATAGGGGGTGTATGGTGTTAAATGGGGTTCTATGGGGTCTGGAGGGCATCTATAGGGGGTGTATGGTGTTAAATGGGGTTCTATGGGGTCTTGAGGGCATCTGTAGGGGGTTTATGGGGTTCAATGGGGGTTCTATGGGGTCTTGAAGGCATCTGTAGGGGGTTTATGGGGTTAAATGGGGGTTCTATGGGGTCTTGAAGGCATCTGTAGGGGGTTTATGGGGTTAAATGGGGGTTCTATGGGGTCTTGAGGGCACCTAGAGGGGGTCCAGGTCCCCACATGTTTTGCTGTGGGGCTGGACCCCCCCGATCCCCCCCCCCATGGCCACCCCATAGGGCCCCACCTGGGCTCCATGGGGCAGGAGGGGGGGGTTGAGGATGCAGAAGGTTCTGCGGAGGGGCTCCGATGCCGGCTCCGAATGGCACCGCAGGGACATGGAGCTCCTGGAGGCCTGCAATAGGAACAGGGGGGTCGAAAGGGGGCTCTATGGGGTCTGGAGGGCATCTATAGGGGGTTTATGGGGTTAAATGGGGGTTCTATGGGGTCTTGAGGGCATCTATAGGGGGTTATGGGGTTAAATGGGTTCTCTATGGGGTCTTGAAGGCATCTATAGGGGGTTTATGGGGTTAAATGGGTTTTCTATGGGGTCTTGAAGGCATCTATAGGGGATTATGGGGTTAAATGGGTTCTCTATGGGGTCTTGAAGGCATCTATAGGGGTTTTATGGGGTTAAATGGGGGTTCTATGGGGTCTTGAAGGCATCTATAGGGGGTTTATGGGGTTAAATGGGGGTTCTATGGGGTCTTGAGGGCATCTATAGGGGGTTTATGGGGTTAAATGGGGGTTCTATGGGGTCTTGAAGGCATCTAGAGGGGGTTTATGGGGTTAAAGGGGGGTTCTATGGGGTCTTGAAGGGATCTATAGGAGGTTATGGGGTTAAATGGGTTTTCTATGGGGTCTTGAAGGCATCTATAGGAGGTTATGGGGTTAAATGGGTTTTCTATGGGGTCTTGAAGGGATCTATAGGAGGTTATGAGGTTAAATGGGTTCTCTATGGGGTCTTGAAGGCATCTATAGGGGGTTTATGGGGTTAAATGGGGGTTCTATGGGGTCTTGAAGGCATCTATAGGGTGTTCTATGGGGTCAGGAGGTACCTGGAGCACCAGAACCCTGCGGTAGGACAGGGCAGGATGGTGCTGGAGCTCCACCATGGCCCCAGGAGAGCTCTCCCCATGGTTCCTCAGGGTCAGGACCACGTCCACCCCATCGTTGACCCCCAAAACCAGCATCTCCAGCCTATAGGGTTGGTTGTGGGGTGATGGAATATGGGGGGGGGGATACATAGACATGATGTGGGGCTGCCCCATAGAGGGGGGTGGGACCTACCCTGAGATGTTGAGGGAGAGATGGAGGTCGTCAACGCAGACGTCGTCAGGGCCGCAGTTGAGGTTGAAGGGGAGCTTGGAGGTACCAGGTCCATGGGTCCATTGCCCCCCCATTGCCCCCCATTGCCCCCCATTGACCACCCATTGACCAACCGTTGACCACCCATTGACCAACCATTGACCCCATTGGCCACCCATTGACCACCCATTGACCAACCGTTGATCACCCATTCCCCACCCATTGACCACCCATTGGCCACCCATTGACCAACCATTGACCACCTATTGACCACCCATTGATCACCCATTCCCCACCCATTGACCACCATTGACCATCCATTGATCACCCATTGACCAACCATTGACCCCATTGGCCACCCATTGACCACCCATTGATTGCCCATTGACCACCCATTGGCCACCCATTGACCAACCATTGACCACCCATTGACCATCATTTCCCACCCATTGACCACCCATTGACCACCCATTGATCACCCATTCCCCACCCATTGACCACCCATTCCCCACCCATTGGCCACCCATTGACCAACCATTGACCACCCATTGACCACCCATTGGCCACCCATTGACCACCCATTCCCCACCCATTGACCACCCATTGACCACCCATTGATCACCCATTCCCCACCCATTGACCACCCATTCCCCACCCATTGACCACCCATTGACCACCCATTGATCACCCATTCCCCACCCATTGACCACCCATTCCCCACCCATTGACCACCCATTGATCACCCATTGACCACCCATTCCCCACCCATTGACCACCCATTGACCACCCATTGATCACCCATTCCCCACCCATTGACCACCCATTCCCCACCCATTGACCACCCATTGATCACCCATTGACCACCCATTCCCCACCCATTGACCACCCATTGGCCACCCATTGACCACCCATTCCCCACCCATTGACCACCCATTGACCACCCATTCCCCACCCATTGACCACCCATTGGCCACCCATTGATCAACCATTGACCACCTATTGACCACCCATTGATCACCCATTCCCCACCCATTGACCACCATTGACCACCCATTGGCCACCCATTGACCAACCATTGACCTCCCATTGCCCACCCATTGCCCACCCATTGCCCCCCCCATTGCCCCCCCATTGCCCCACCTTGCCCTCGGCCACCGTCTCCGTGTCCCCACTCAAGCCAGGCCGGAGCCCCCCGGCCACCTCCAAGGGTTCTCCAATGGCCTCATAGCCCAACCTCAACAGCACCGGCGTCACCGTGTCCCTCGGACACCCCTGCACGCATGGACACCCCCATTGACCCCCATTGCCTCCATGGGGCTGCCCCATAACTCCCCCCCCCCTCCTTCCCAAGGACCCACCACCAAGGCTATGGGGTAGGTCCTGCACTGTTGGCCAAGCCCCAGTTGGATGCTCCCATTGAGGACGTCGGCGCCGGCAACAAAGATGGCGCGGGCCACGGTCCTCCCGGGGTCCAGGGCTGCCCGGTACCGCAGCCTGGTGGCCACTTGGCTTCCTATGGGGAGAAGAGGGGGGGATGAAGGCATCTGGATGGGGGTTTGGAGGGTTATGGTTATGGTTAGGGTTAGGGTTAGGGTTAGGGTTGGGGTTGGGGTAAGGTTTAGGGTTATGGTTATGGTTATGGTTAGTGTTAGGGTTAGGGTTATGGTTAGGGTTAGGTTTAGGGTTATGGTTATGGTTAGTGTTAGGGTTAGGGTTATGGTTAGGGTTAGGTTTATGGTTAGGGTTAGGGTTAGGGTTAGATTTAGGGTTAGGGTTAGGGTTATGGTTCGGGTTAGGGTTGGGGTTGGGGTTATGGTTATGGTTAGGGTTATGGTTAGGGTTAGGTTTAGGGTTAGGGGTAGGGTTATGGTTATGGTCAGGGTTAGGGTTAGGTTTAGGGTTATGGTTATGGTTAGGTTTTGGTGTAGGGTTAGGCATAGGATTAGGGTTATGGTTAGGGTTAGTGTTAGTTTTAAGGTTACGGTTCTGGTTAGGGATCTGGTTTGGGTTAGGGTTCGGTTTAGGGTTAGGTTTGGGGTTGGGGTTATGGTTATGGTTAGGTTTAGGGTTAGCGTTATGGTTAGGGTTAGGATTAGGGTTAGGTTTATGGTTAAGGTTATGGTTAGGGTTAGCGTTAGGTTTAGATGTTAGGGTTAGGGTTAGGGTTAGTGTTAGGGTTAGGGTTAGGTTTAGGATTAGGGTTAGGGTTAGTGTTAGGATTAGGGTTATGGGTATGGTTAGGTTTATGGTTAGGGGTTTGGGTTATGGTTATGGTTAAGGTTTGGGTTAGGGTTATGGTTAGGATAGGGTTAATGTTAAGGTTATGGTTATGGTTATTGTTAGTGTGCGTTGATGTCCATTTGGGGCTCACCGAATCTATCCGGGGTCTTCTTGGAGGTCCGGAAGCAGATCCTGGCCTTGGCCACCTCCCTATGGGGCTGCTCCTCCTCTTGGCAGCCCAAGGAGGACACCGGGATCTGGGGGGGCTCGAAGGTCACCAGGACCTTGATCTTGAGGAGGGGGCGGGACCTGGTGGGGTTGGGGGCGTGGTCACCTTGGGGGTGGTCGTTATGGGGTTGGTTGCCATGGGGTTGGTCACTGTGGTGATAGTGATGGTCGCCATGGGGATGGGGATGGTGATGGTCACCATAGGGATGGTCACCATGGGATGGGGATGGTCACCATGGTGATGGTTGCCATGGGGATGGGGATGGTGATGGTCACCCTGGGATGGGGATGATGATGGTCACCATGGGATGGGGATGATGATGGTCACCATGGGATGGGGATGATGATGGTCACCATGGGATGGGGATGATGATGGTCACCATGGAATGGGGATGATGATGGTCACCATGGTGATGGTCGCCATGGGGATGGGGTTGGTACCTGAGGAGCAGGACCTGGCCGTGGGCCCCGATGGCCACATCCGGTAGGTTGTCCCCGCTCAGGTCCCGCCCCCCGCTCAGCGCCTGCCCGAAGTGGTGTGGGGACGAGGGGAAGGAGGAGCCGGCGATGCGCTGTGGGGACAAGGGGATCCAATGGGGCGCAATGGGGCACAATGGGATCCAATGGATGCAGTGGGGCACAATGGGATCCAATGGATGCAGTGGGGCACAATGGGATCCAATGGACGCAGTGGGGCACAATGGGATCCAATGGATGCAGTGGGGCACAATGGGATCCAACGGATGGAATTGGACACAATGGAATCCAATGGATGGAATGGGACACAATGGGGCACAACGGGATCCAATGGGACACAATGGATACAATGGGGCACAATGGGGCACAATGGGATCCAATGGGACACAATGGATGCAACGGGGCACAATGGGGCACAACGGGATCCAATGGGACACAATGGATACAATGGGGCACAATGGGGCACAATGGGATCCAATGGGACACAATGGATACAACGGGGCACAATGGGGCACAACGGGATCCAATGGGACACAATGGATGCAACGGGGCACAATGGGGCACAACGGGATCCAATGGGACACAATGGATACAATGGGGCACAATGGGGCACAATGGGATCCAATGGGACACAATGGATACAACGGGGCACAATGGGGCACAACGGGATCCAATGGGACACAATGGATGCAACGGGGCACAATGGGGCACAACGGGATCCAATGGGACACAATGGATACAACGGGGCACAATGGGGCACAATGGGTTCCAATGGGATCCAATGGATACAATGGGGCACAATGGGATCCAATGGATGCAATGGGGCACAATGGGATCCAACGGGACACAATGGACCCAATGGGGCACAATGGGATCCAATGGAGGACAATGGCAGCCAATGGGGGACAATGGATATCCCCCCATAGACATCCCATAGACACCCTGTAGATTCGTGTCTCCCTACCCCATATCCCATACCCCATATAGCCCATATTCCCTATATCCAATATACCCCATACCCCCCATACCCCCTACACCCCCCATACCCCCCATACGCCCCATACCCCCCATAGCCCCCATACCCCCCCCATTCCCTATGCCCATACCTGGCTGTACTCCTGTCTCACCCCACTGCTGTGCCCCCGGAAGACGTAGACGGCTCCGCCCCCCAGCTCCTCCATGGGGGCCCCCACGGCCACCTCGGGCCACCCATCCCCATCCACGTCCCCCAGTGGGGCCAGGCTGGACCCAAAGCGCCCCAAAGGGTGCCCGGCCTGGCCCCGCAGGGAGCCCTGGCAATGGAGGTGCCCCCCCTATAGGTACATGGGGGGTGGGAGGGGACAGGGGGTGGCATGGTGGTCAATGGGGGTGGATATGGGGTGAGGGGGGGCTCATCTATGGGGTGAGGGGGAGCTCATCTATGGGGTGGCATGGTGGTCAATGGGGGTGGAGATGGGGTGAGGGGGGGCTCATCTGTGGGGTGAGGGGGAGCTCATCTATGGGGTGACATGGAGGTCAAAGGGGGTGGATATGGGGTGAGGGGGGCTCATCTATGGGGTGAGGGGGAGCTCATCTATGGGGTGGCATGGTGGTCAATGGGGGTGGATATGGGGTGAGGGGGGGCTCATCTATGGGGTGAGGGGGAGCTCATCTATGGGGTGACATGGAGGTCAATGGGGGTGGAGATGGGGTGAGGGGGAGCTCATCTATGGGGTGAGGGGGAGCTCATCTATGGGGTGAGGGGGAGCTCATCTATGGGGTGACATGGAGGTCAAAGGGGGTGGATATGGGGTGAGGGGGGGCTCATCTATGGGGTGAGGGGGAGCTCATCTATGGGGTGACATGGAGGTCAAAGGGGGTGGATATGGGGTGAGGGGGGGCTCATCTATGGGGTGAGGGGGAGCTCATCTATGGGGTGACATGGAGGTCAATGGGGGTGGAGATGGGGTGAGGGGGAGCTCATCTGTGGGGTGAGGGGGAGCTCATCTATGGGGTGACATGGAGGTCAAAGGGGGTGAGATGGGCTGAGGGGGGGCTCATCTATGGGGTGAGGGGGAGCTCATCTATGGGGTGACAGAGAGCTCATCTATGGGGTGAGAGGGACTTCAATGGGGTCATCTATGGGGTGATAGGGAGCTCAATGGGGGCATCTATGGGGTGAGGGGGAGCTCATCTATGGGGTGATATGGAGCTCATCTATGGGTGATGGGGACGTCAATGGGGCCATCTATGGGGTGATATAGAGCTCATCTGTGGGGTGATATGGGGCTCATCTATGGGGTGATATGGGGCTCATCTATGGGGTGATGGGGAGCTCATCAATGGGGTGATGGGGGGCTCATCTATGGGGTGATGGGGGGCTCATCTATGGGGTGATGGGGAGATCATCTATGGGGTGATGGGGAGCTCATCTATGGGGTGAGATGGAGCTCAATGGGTCCATCTATGGGGTGGGACCCACCTTGGTCCGGAGGCTGCAGACGACCACGCGGCCGCCGCTGTTGGCCCCATAGAACATGGGGGCTCCCACCAGCACCACGTTGTCCAGCCCATCCCCATCGGGGTCTAGGGAGCAGAGGGAGGCCCCAAAGTAGGAGCCCACCTATGGGGGAGGGAGGAGATGTGGGGCTGCCCCATAGCGGGGGCATCAAGCAAGACCCATAGGTCAAGCAAGACCCATAGATCACCCAAGACCCATAGATCAACCAAGACCCATTCATCACCCAAGACCCATAGATCAACCAAGACCCATCCATCACCCAAGACCCATAGATCACCCAAGACCCATAGATCAACCAAGACTGATAGATCACCCAAGACCCATAGATCAACCAAGACCCATAGATCACCCAAGACCCATCCATCACCCAAGACCCATCCATCACCCAAGACCCATAGATCACCCAAGACCCATAGATCAACCAAGACCCATAGATCACCCAAGACCCATCCATCACCCAAGACCCATCCATCACCCAAGACCCATAGATCACCCAAGACCCATAGATCAACCAAGACCCATAGATCACCCAAGACCCATAGATCACCCAAGACCCATCCATCACCCAAGACCCATCGATCACCCAAGACCCATAGATCACCCAAGACCCATAGATCAACCAAGACCCATAGATCACCCAAGACCCATAGATCAACCAAGACCCATCCATCACCCAAGACCCATTGATCACCCAAGACCCATAGATCAACCAAGACCAATAGATCACCCAAGACCCATAGATCACCCAAGACCCATAGATCAACCAAGACCCATCCATCACCCAAGACCCATCGATCACCCAAGACCCATAGATCAACCAAGACCGATAGATCACCCAAGACCCATAGATCACCCAAGACCCATAGATCACCCAAGACCCATCCATCACCCCCCATGTCCCCCCCTACCCCTGATGCGCCCCATAACCACGTCTCTTCACCTGTGTCCCCATGGCCTGGCCCAGCACCTCCCCGCTATGGGGCTGGAGCAGGAGGACGCGGCCAACGTGGTTGGACCGGGGGGCCCCGAGCGCCAGCGCCCGGCCCCATGGAAGAGACAGGGGCTCCATCACGTACCCTATGGCACAAGGGACCCCATTGGTCATCATGGGACATCGATGACGTCATTGGTCACCATGGGACATTGACGATCCCATTGGTCATCATGGGACATCGATGACGTCATTAATCATCATGGGATATCGATGACGTCATTGGTCACCATGGGGACATCGACGACCCCATTGGTCATCATGGGACATCGATGACGTCATTGGTCACCATGGGGACATCAAGAACCCCATTGGTCATCATGGGACATCGATGATGTCATTGGTCACCATGGGGACATCAATGATGTCATCAATCATCATGGGACATCGATGACGTCATTGGTCACCATGGGGACATCGATGACGTCATTGGTCATCATGGGACATTGATGACGTCATTGGTCACCATGGGGACATCGACGACGTCATTGGTCATCATGGGACGTCGATGACGTCATTGGTCATCATGGGACATCGATGGCGTCATTGGTCATCATGGGACGTCGATGACGTCATTGGTCACCATGGGGACATCAAGAACCCCATTGGTCATCATGGGACATCGATGACGTCATTGGTCACCATGGGGACATCAAGAACCCCATTGGTCATCATGGGACATCGATGATGTCATTGGTCACCATGGGGACATCGATGACGTCATTGGTCATCATGGGACATCGATGACGTCATTGGTCATCATGGGACATTGACGATCCCATTGGTCATCATGGGACATCGATGACGTCATTGGTCACCATGGGACATTGACGATCCCATTGGTCATCATGGGACATCGATGACGTCATTGGTCATCATGGGACATCGATGATGTCATTGGTCACCATGGGGACATCGATGACGTCATTAATCATCATGGGACATCGATGACGTCATTGGTCACCATGGGGACATCAAGAACCCCATTGGTCATCATGGGACATCGATGATGTCATTGGTCACCATGGGGACATCAATGATGTCATCAATCATCATGGGACATCGATGACGTCATTGGTCACCATGGGGACATCAAGAACCCCATTGGTTATCATGGGACATTGATGACGTCATTGGTCACCATGGGGACATCAAGAACCCCATTGGTCACCATGGGGACATCGATGACGTCATTGGTCATCATGGGGACATCGATGACCCCATTGGTCCTCATGGGGACCCCAATGTCTCCCATAGACCCCATGAGGCCCCCAAGGCCCCCAGGGCTGCCCCACACGGTGCCTGTGGGGGGGTCCTCACCCAGGTAGGAATCACTGGGGACCCCAGAGGCGTTGAGGAACGCGGCTGCCCCATTGGCCCCATAGGAAAAGGCGCCTCCGGCCCAGGAGTAGGCACCCACAGCACCCAGGATGGGTCCATCCTGCGCCATGGGGGGGACATAGGGTCACACCATGGGGATACCATGGGGATGCGATGGGGATGCTATGGGGTTGCTATAGGGATGCGATGGGGATGCTATGGGGATGCTATGGGGTTGCTATGGGGATCTATGGGGTTGCTATAGGGATGCGATGGGGATCTATGGGGATGCTATGGGGATGCGATGGGGATGCGATGGGGATGCTATGGGGTTGCTATAGGGATGCGATGGGGATGCTATGGGGATGCTATGGGGATTCGATGGGGATCTATGGGGTTGCTATAGGGATTCTATGGGGATCTATGGGGATGCTATGGGGATGCGATGGGGATGCTATGGGGATGCTATGGGGTTGCTATAGGGATGCGATGGGGTTGCTATGGGGATGCTATGGGGTTGCTATAGGGATGCGATGGGGTTGCTATGGGGATGCTATGGGGATGCGATGGGGATGCTATGGGGATGCTATAGGGATTCTATGGGGATGCTATGGGGATGCTATGGGGATGCGATGGGGATGCTATGGGGATGCTATAGGGATTCTATGGGGATGCTATGGGGATGCTATGGGGATGCTATAGGGATTCTATAGGGACGCTATGGGGATGCTATGGGGATGCTATAGGGATTCTATGGGGATGCTATGGGGATTCTATGGGGATCTATGGGGATGCTGTGGGAATGCTATGGGGATGCTATGGGGATGCTCTGGGGACACCACAGGGACACCATAGGAATACCATAGGGATAATATAGGGACATTATAGGGGTACTCTAGGGATCCCATAGGGATACTATAGGGATACTATAGGGATACTATAGGGATACCATAAGGATATTATAGGGGTACTATAGGGATACCATAGGGATAATATAGGGATACCATAGGGATATTATAGGGGTACTATAGGGATACCATAGGGATAATATAGGGATACTCTAGGAACATTATAGGGATACTATAGAGATACCATAGGGATACTATAGGGATACCATAGGGATACTATAGGGATACTATAGGAGTACTATAGGGATACTATAGGGGTACCATAGGGATACTATAGGGATACCATAGGGGTACTATAGGGATACCATTGGGATAATATAGGGATACTATCGGGATACCATAGGGATACTATAGGGATACTATAGGGGTACTATAGGGATACTATAGGGATACCATAGGGGTACTATAGGGATACCATTGGGATAATATAGGGATACCATAGGGATACTAAAGGGATACCATAGGGGTACTATAGGGATACCATTGGGATAATATAGGGATACTATAGGGATACCATAGGGATACTATAGGGATACTATAGGGGTACTATAGGGATACTATAGGGATACCATAGGGGTACTATAGGGATACCATTGGGATAATATAGGGATACCATAGGGATACTAAAGGGATACCATAGGGGTACTATAGGGATACCATTGGGATAATATAGGGATACCATAGGGATACTAAAGGGATACCATAGGGGTACTATAGGGATACCATTGGGATAATATAGGGATACTATAGGGATACCATAGGGATACTATAGGGATACTATAGGGGTACTATAGGGATACTATAGGGGTACTATATGGATACTATAGGGATACTATAGGGATACTATAGGGGTACTATATGGATACTATAGGGATAATATAGGGATACTCTAGGGACATTATAGGGATAATCTAGGGATCCTCTGGGGCTCCTCTGGGGATCCTCTGGGGCCCAGACCGGGGTGAGGAGGGCGCTGAAGCCCTCCTGGGCCATCTCGAGCTGGAAGGCGCTGGCGTGGGCGGTGGCGGTGCCCTCGAGGGAGAAGATCCGGTCCTGGAGCTGGCTCTGGATGCCCCGGAGGGCCTCGAAGTTGTCGACGCGGAAGACGTGGTCCTCGGGGGGCCGGGAGGCGATGGACTGGAGCTCGGCCACGGCCGCTGGGAGGTGGAAGGCGCTGCCCACCTGGAAGGGATGGGGAGGGATGGAAGAGGGATGGATGGATGATGGATGATGGATGATGGATGATGGATGGATGATGGATGGATGATGATGGATGATGGATGGATGGATGATGATGGATGATGATGGATGGATGATGGATGGATGATGGATTATGGATGATGATGGATGATGATGGATGATGATGGATGGATGATGATGGATGGATGATGATGGATGATGATGGATGGATGATGGATGGATGATGATGGATGATGATGGATGATGGATGATGGATGATGGATGGATGATGGATGGATGGATGATGGATGGATGATGGATGATGGATGGATGATGGATGATGGATGGATGATGGATGGATGGATGATGGATGATGGATGATGGTTGATGGATGGATGGATGATGGATGGATGGATGATGGATGATGGATGGATGATGGATGGATGATGGATGATGGATGGATGATGGATGATGGATGATGGATGATGATGGATGATGGATGGATGATGGATGATGGATGATGGATGATGGATGGATGATGGATGGATGATGGATGATGGATGGATGATGGATGATGGATGGATGATGGATGATGGATGATGGATGATGGATGATGGATGGATGATGGATGGATGATGGATGGATGATGGATGATGGATGATGGATGGATGATGGATGGATGATGGATGATGGATGGATGATGGATGATGGATGATGATGGATGGATGATGGATGATGGATGATGGATGATGATGGATGGATGATGGATGATGGATGGATGATGATGGATGATGGATGATGATGGATGGATGATGGATGATGGATGGATGATGGATGATGATGGATGGATGATGGATGATGGATGATGGATGGATGATGGATGGATGATGATGGATGGATGATGGATGGATGATGGATGATGGATGGATGATGGATGATGGATGGATGATGGATGATGGATGGATGATGGATGATGATGGATGATGGATGGATGATGATGGATGATGGATGATGGATGATGATGGATGGATGATGGATGATGGATGATGGATGATGATGGATGGATGATGGATGATGATGGATGATGGATGATGGATGGATGATGGATGGATGATGATGGATGGATGATGGATGGATGATGGATGATGGATGGATGATGGATGATGGATGGATGATGGATGATGGATGGATGATGGATGATGATGGATGATGGATGGATGATGATGGATGATGGATGATGGATGATGATGGATGATGATGGATGGATGATGATGGATGGATGATGATGGATGGATGATGGATGGATGATGGATGATGGATGGATGATGGATGGATGATGGATGATGGATGGATGATGGATGGATGGATGATGGATGATGGATGATGGATGATGATGGATGGATGATGATGGATGGATGATGATGGATGGATGATGGATGGATGATGGATGGATGATGGATGATGGATGGATGATGGATGGATGATGGATGATGGATGGATGATGGATGATGGATGATGTATGGATGATGGATGGATGATGGATGGATGATGGATGATGGATGGATGATGGATGGATGATGGATGATGATGGATGATGGATGGATGATGATGGATGATGGATGATGGATGATGATGGATGATGATGGATGGATGACGATGGATGTATGGATGCATGGATGCATGGATGCATGGATGCTGGCTCCCTCACCCCAATGGCGTAGCGCGTCACCCCCATCCTCTCGGCCAATGGGATGACGTCCTCATATTCCATCCTATCATCGAACTTCCTCCCATCCGTCACCACGATCAGCACCTTGGTGGCATCTTCCCGGGCTCCCCTCCCCGCTGTGAACATCTGGGTCCTGCCCCATAGAAGCCCCATAGCACCCTATGGGTCACGCTTAGACGTAGTTATGGGGTCTATGGGAGGGGTGGGGGGGCATATGGGGCACTCACAGCGCGGTCCAGATGGCAGTGGCCGTATGGGTGGACCCCCTGAGCTGCTGGACCTTCCCCACAAGTGCTATGGGGTCCGGGGCGCTCCGGAAGGTGTTGAAGTCAAAGTGCGGGAGGACGATGCTGGAGAACTGGGAGAGGGCAAACTGGGGGGGGGGGGAGACAAAGAAAGGGGACAATGTGGGGTGAAGGCCATGGGGCAATGGGATGGGGATGTGGGGCAATGATGGAAGAGGAACCCGTTGAGTCGGTAGAAGAGGAGCCCATTGAATCGATGGAAGGGGAACCCATTGAGTCGATGGAAGAGGAAACCCATTGAGTCGATGGAAGGGGAACCCATTGAGTCGATGGAAGAGGAGCCCATTGAGTCGATGGAAGAGGAACCCATTGAGTCGATGGAAGAGGAGCCCATTGAGTCGATAGAAGAGGACCCCATTTAGTCAATGGAAGGGGAACCCATTGAGTAGATGGAAGAGGAACCCATTGAGTTGATAGAAGAGGAGCCCATTGAGTCGATGGAAGAGGAACCCATTGAGTCAATGGAAGGGGAACCCATTGAGTCGATGGAAGAGGAACCCATTGAGTCGATGGAAGGGGAACCCATTGAGTCGATGGAAGAGGAGCCCATTGAGTCGATGGAAGAGGAACCCATTGAGTCGATGGAAGGGGAACCCATTGAGTAGATGGAAGAGGAACCCATTGAGTCGATGGAAGGTAGCCCATTGAGTCGATGGAAGAGAAACCCATTGAGTTGATGGAAGGGGAGCCCATTGAGTCGATAGAAGAGGAGCCCATTGAGTCGATGGAAGAGGAACCCATTGAGTCAATGGAAGGGGAACCCATTGAGTCGATGGAAGAGGAGCCCATTGAGTCAATAGAACCCAAGCCATCGCCATTGAGCTCCAATGGTGGGAACCCCATGGAGATGCCACCTCCATGGGGGTACCTGCGTGTCGGTGCCCTTGAAGTGCTTCATGACCTCCCCAATGAAGGTCTTCATGGTCTGGAATTCCTTGGCCTTGATGCTTCCGGAGCCATCCATGAGGAGAGCCACGTCCGTGGCGCGCTTGGGACACTCTATGGGGCAGGCGTATGGGGACAACCGAGCCATGTGTGGGGGGAGGTGGGTCCCTATGGGGCCAATGGGGCCGCTATGGGGAGCCCCATACCTGGTTGGGTCATTGGGATGAGCTGGAGCTGCTGGAGGTTGGTGTCCAGGAGGGCGCAGAAGCCATTGAGGTGGATGTTCTCCCCACAAGTGTGGGGCAGCGTGGGGCCACAGGCCTATGGGGGGGGGCGCATAGAGACCCACTGGGGGGGTGAAACCTCCTTGATGGCCCCATAGGAACCCATTGGAGATGCCATCTCCAACCCAACTCACCAGGGCCCCCTTGTTCCCAGCGCTCAAGGCCAACCCCAAGGATGCGTTGACGGCACCGGGAGGTCCTAAGAGATGGATTGGTCACTTATGGGGTGGAGGAGGTCACTTATGGGGTGGAGGAGGTCACTTATGGGGGGGAGGAGGTCACTTATGGGGGGGAGGAGGTCACTTACGGGGTGTGGGGGAGGTCACTTATGGGGTGGAGGAGGTCACTTATGGGGTGGAGGAGGTCACTTATGGGGTGTGGGGGAGGTCACTTATGGGGTGGAAGAGGTCACTTATGGGGGGGAGGAGGTCACTTACGGGGTGTGGGGGAGGTCACTTATGGGGTGGAGGAGGTCACTTATGGGGTGTGGGGGAGGTCACTTATGGGGTGGAGGAGGTCACTTATGGGGTGGGGTAGGTGATTTATGGGGTGTGGGGGAGGTCACTTATGGGGTGTGGGGGAGGTGACTTATGGGGTGTGGGGGAGGTCACTTATGGGGTGGGGGAGGTCACTTATGGGGTGTGGGGAAGGTCACTTATGGGGTGTGGGGGAGGTGACTTATGGGGTGGGGGAGGTGACTTATGGGGTGTGGGGGAGCTCACATGGGGTGGAGGAGGTCACTTAGGGGGTGGGAGAGGTGACTTATGGGGTGTGGGGGAGCTCACATGGGGTGGAGGAGGTCACTTATAGGGTGTGGAGGAGGTTACTTATGGGGTGTGGGGAGGTCACTTATGGGGTGGAGGAGGTCACATATGGGGTGTGGGGAGGTCACTTATGGGGTGTGGGGAAGGTCACTTATGGGGTGTGGGGAAGGTCACTTATGGGGTGTGGGGAAGGTCACTTATGGGGTGTGGAGGTCACTTATGGGGTGTGGGGCAGGTCACTTATGGGGCATGGCTGGGGTCACTTATGGGGCGCTCACCCCTAATGGGCACCTCTTGGCACGTCCCGGTGCGGTACCGGCACCGATGGATGCTCCCTCTTGCGCCGCGCTCCAATGGGGCCCCTACCAGGAGCCTATGGGGCAGGTTCATGGTGTATGGGGGGCACTTGTGGGTCGCCAGCCCCATAAGTGTGGGGTGAACACCCCCCCCTTTACCATCCATCGTCGCTGGTGCCGAACTGGGCCACGGCGTGGCCGAAGGCCCCATTGGGGTCGCCGCGGAAGACGAGCGCCGCGTCCACGTCCACCATGGAGCAGCGGCTGTGGGGCAGCGCTGTGGGGTTGGGGGGGGTCAATGGGGCAGCCAATGGGGGAGGAGACACCCCCCCCACACCCCCTCCCAGCAGCCAATGGGGGAGGTTGGGGGGATCCCTGTTAGCCAATGAGGGGGGAGCCCCCCATCAGGCAATGGGGTGGGAGACCCTCATCAGCCAATGAGAGAGGTTGGGGGGATCCCTGACAGCCAATGAGGGAGGGGAGAGACCCCAACCCCAGCAGCCAATAGGGGAGGGTTTGGGGGATCCCTGTTAGCCAATGAGGGAGGGGAAAGACCCCAACCACAGCAGCCAATGGGGGAGGTTGGGGGGATCCCCGACAGCCAATGAGGGAGGGGAGAGACCCCAACCCCACAGCAACCAATGGGGGAGGTTGGGGGGATCCCCGACAGCCAATGAGGGGGAAGACCCCCATCAGCCAATGGGGGATGTTGGGGTGCCCCCAGCACCCAATGGGGGGCCATTGATGACCCCAGCACCCAATTGGGGGGCCATTGATGACCCCAGCACCCAATGGGGTGCCATTGATGACCCCAGCACCCAATGGGGTGCCATTGATGACCCCCATCACCCAATGGGGGGGGCCACTGATGACCCCAGCACCCAATGGGGGGGCCATTGGGGTGCCCCCCAGCACCCAAAAGTGGGGCTGTCCCCCCCCCCCCCAACCCCCTTTGCCACCTACCAGCACCCAAGAGGACGAGCAGCACCCATGGGTCCATGGCACCCCCTTGTGAAGCCGGATGGGGGCCGATGACGATGGCCAATGGGGAAGTGCATTGGGTGTAAGAGGAAGGAAAGGGGGGGGGCGGGACCCACACAAAGAAGGGGGGCGGGGGGGGCAGGAAGGAGAAGGTTCCCGCCCCATAGACAACATCTGGGTGGGTCGTTCCGCCCCATAGACAACATCTGGATGGGTCCCACCCCATGGAGAACATCGGGGGGGGGGGAGATCAACCATGGGGAAATAGGGGGGGTTATGGGGCGGGGGGGAGGGAAGTTGTGGGTCACAGCGCTTGTGGGTGTCATGTCCCCACCCCCCCCCGGCGTTGGTTCTGACCCACATCCCCTTTTGGGGGGGGTTAAGCAACCACAGGGGTGACGTCGACTTCCTACCGCAGTTGTGGGGTCAGTGGGGGGCGGCGACGGGCTATGGGTCAGCTGCGGCCCATTGACCATCATTGGTCACCATTGACCCCCATTGACCCCCATTGACCATCATTGACCACCATTGACCCCCATTGACCCCCATTGACCCCCATTGACCATCATTGACCATCATTGACCACCATTGACTCCCATTGACCCCCATCGACCATCATTGGTCACCATTGACCCCCATTGACCCCCATTGGCCACCATCGACCATCATTGACCACCATTGACTCCCATTGACCCCAATTGACCATCATTGACCACCATTGACCCCCATTGACCCCCATTGACCCCCATTGACCCCCATTGACCACCATTGGCCCCCATTGACCACCATTGACCCCCACTGACCACCCATTGACCCCCCCATTGACCACCATTGACCCCCATTGACCCCCATCGACACCCATTGACCCCCATTGACCCCCATTGGACACCATTGACCCCCATTGACCCCCATTGACCCCCATTGGACACCATTGACCCCCATTGACCCCCATTGACCCCCATTGACCCCCATTGACATTTTGGGGTATTTCGGGGCATTTTGGGCTTTTTTTTGGCCGTTTTGAGTTGTTTGGGACCATTTGGGGCATTTTGGGGCCCTTTTGGGTGGTTTCGGGACGTTTGGGGCATTTTTGGGGCGGTTTGGGTTGATTTGTGTGGTTTTGGGCATTTTCGGACCTTTTTGGGCTGGTTTGGGCCATTTTGGGCTGGTTTGGACCATTTTGGGCTGGTTTGGACCATTTTGGGCTGTTTTGGACCGTTTTGGGCTGGTTTGGACCATTTTGGGCTGTTTTGGACCGTTTTGGGCTGGTTTGGACCATTTTGGGCTGTTTTGGACCATTTTGGACCGTTTTGGGTTATTTTGGGCTCTTTTGGACCGTTTTGGGCTGGTTTAGACACATTTGGGCTGTTTTGGGCTATTTTATGCCATTTTGGGCTGTTTTGGACCGTTTTGGGGTGGTTTGGACCATTTTGGGCTGTTTTGGGTTGTTTTGGACCGTTTTGGGGTGGTTTGGACCATTTTGGGCCCTTTTGGGTTGTTTTGTGCCATTTTGTGCTGGTTTGGACCGATTTGGGCCGTTTTGTGCCATTTTGGGCCGTTTTGGGTTGTTTTGTGCCATTTGGGGCGTTTTTGGACCATTTTGGGACCGTTTTGGACCGTTTCGGGCTGTTTTGAGCATTTTAGGACCGTTTTGTGCTGTTTTGGGACCGTTTTGGGCCGTTTTGTGCCATTTTGGGCCGTTTTGGGTTGTTTTGTGCCATTTTGGGCCGTTTTGGGTTGTTTTGTGCCATTTGGGGCGTTTTTGGACCATTTTGGGACCGTTTTGGACCGTTTCGGGCTGTTTTGAGCATTTTAGGACCGTTTTGTGCTGTTTTGGGACCGTTTTGGGCCGTTTTGTGCCATTTTGGGCCGTTTTGGGTTGTTTTGTGCCATTTGGGGCTGGTTTGGGTTGTTTTGTGCCGTTTTGGGCGTTTTTGGACCATTTTGGGACCGTTTTGGACCGTTTCGGGCCGTTTTGTGCTATTTTGGGACGGTTTTGGGCCGTTTTGTGCCGTTTTGGGACCGTTTGGGACCGTTTCGGGCGGTTTCGTGCTATTTTAGGACCGTTTTTTGCTGTTTTGGGACCGTTTTGGGCCGTTTCGGGACGTTTTGAGCATTTTAGGACCGTTTTGGACCATTTCGGGCCGTTTCGGGCCGTTTTGAGCATTTTAGGACCGTTTTGGACCATTTCGGGCCGTTTTGGGCCGTTTTGGGCCGTTTTGGGACCGTTTGGGACCGTTTCGGGCAGTTTTGTGCTATTTTGGGACCGTTTTGGGCCGTTTTGGGACCGTTTCGGGCCGTTTTGTGCTTTTTTGGGACCGTTTTGGGCCGTTTCCGGCCGTTTTGAGCATTTTAGGACCGTTTTGGACCATTTCGGGCCGTTTCGGGCCGTTTTGAGCATTTTAGGACCGTTTTGGACCATTTCGGGCCGTTTTGGGCCGTTTTGGGCCGTTTTGGGACCGTTTGGGACCGTTTCGGGCGGTTTTGTGCTATTTTGGGACCGTTTTGGGACCGTTTCGGGCCGTTTTGTGCTTTTTTGGGACCGTTTTGGGCCGTTTTGGGACCGTTTTGGGCCGTTTTGTGCTGTTTTGGGACCGTTTTTGGCTGTTTTGGGGCCGTTTTCCGCTGTTTCAGGTCCGTTTCGAATCGTTTCGGCACCGCCCCTCCCCCTCTCCGCCTCCTCCCCCCTCCTCCCTCCCCCTTCCCTCCCGTAGCTTGGGGAAGGGGTGGGGCTATATGACGTCACCGCCGACGTCACTTCCTCATTGGCCTCTGTGACGGCGGCTGGTGGGGGAAGGGCAACGGTCAGCGGGCAAAGGGGGGAGGGGGGGGGCCCGGCCCCACAACCCGGCCCCATAGCCCGGCCCCATAGCCCCATTTCCAGCCCCATAGCTCAGCCCCATATCCGATCATCTCCAGCCCCATAACCCATATCCCAGCCCCATACCAAAGTCTCATACCCCATTATCTCCAGCTGCATACCCCATAACCCAGCCCCATATCCAAACCCCAGCCCCGTACCCCATATCCCAGCCTCATATCCCAGCCCCATACCCCAGCCCCATACCCCATAACCGAGCCCCATACCCCAGCCCCATACCCCATAACTCAGCCCCATACCCCAGCCCCATACCCCATAACTGAGCCCCATACCCCAGCCCCATACCCCATAACTGAGCCCCATACCCCAGCCCCATACCCCATAACTGAGCCCTATAGCCCAGCCCCATACCTCATAACTGAGCCCCATACCCCACCCCAACACCCCACCCCCACACCCCATAACTCAGCCCCATACCCCAGCCCCATACCTCATAACTGAGCCCCATACACCAGCCCCATACCCCATAACTGAGCCCTATAGCCCAGCCCCACACCCCACCCCCACACCCCATAACTGAGCCCCATACCCCAGCCCCATACCTCATAACTCAGCCCCATACCCCAGCCCCATACCCCATAACTGAGCCCCATACCCCAGCCCCATACCTCATAACTCAGCCCCACACCCCACCCCCATACCCCATAACTGAGCCCCATACCCCAGCCCCATACCCCATAACTCAGCCCCATACCCCAGCCCCATACCCCATAACTGAGCCCTATAGCCCAGCCCCCACACCCCAGCCCCACACCCCATAACTCAGCCCCATACCCCAGCCCCACACCCCATAACTGAGCCCTATAGCCCAGCCCCACACCCCACCCCCACACCCCACCCCCACACCCCATAACTGAGCCCCACACCCCACCTCCACCCCCCACCCCCCCCCCCACCCCCATACCCCATCCTCTCCACCCCCACCCCCCTAACCCTAACCCCCCTCCCCCCCCCCCCCCCACCCCAGCCCCCCCTCCCCCCCATCCCCCCCATGGCCGCTCTCCTCCCCCCCTCCCTCTGCCCCCCAAGGCTCCCCCTCGTGCTCTGGCGCCGTTGGGCCGGGCACAACCGTTGGTCCAAGGTTCGCAACGTCAAAGGGGCGCGGGATGGGGCCCGCAGCCGCCTCTTCCAGCGCCTGGCCACCATGCTGCGCGCCGCCGCACGAGGTTACCCGCAGCCCGCGCTATGGGGCAGCTATGGGGCAGATATGGGGTGTCTATGGGGTTCTATGGGGTGTCTATGGGGTGTCTATGGGTGTCTATGGGGGTCTATGGGGTTCTATGGGGAGCCCGCAGCCGCCTCTTCCAGCGCCTGGCCACCATGCTGCGCGCCGCCGCACGAGGTCACCCGCAGCCCGCGCTATGGGGCACCTATGGGGCAGATATGGGGTGTCTATGGGGTTCTATGGGGTGTCTATGGGGTGTCTATGGGGTTCTATGGGGTGTCTATGGGGTTCTATGGGGTGTCTATGGGGTGTCTATGGGGTGATATGGGGTGATATGGGGTGTCTATGGGGGTCTATGGGGGGTCTATGGGGTGTCTATGGGTGTCTATGGGGTGATATGGGGGTCTATGGGTATCTATGGGGGTCTATGGGTGTCTATGGGGGTCTATGGGTGTCTATGGGTGTCTATGGGTATCTATGGGGGTCTATGGGTGTCTATGGGTGTCTATGGGGTGTCTATGGGTGTCTATGGGGTGTCTATGGGTGTCTATGGGGTGCTTTAGGGTGTCTATGGGTGTCTATGGGGTGTCTATGGGTGTCTATGGGGTGCTTTAGGGTGTCTATGGGTGTCTATGGGGTGATATGGGGTGTCTATGGGTGTCTATGGGGGTCTATGGGGTGTCTATGGGGGTCTATGGGGGTCTATGGGGTGTCTATGGGGGTCTATGGGGAGCCCGCAGCCGCCTCTTCCAGCGCCTGGCCACCATGCTGCGCGCCGCCGCACGAGGTCACCCGCAGCGGGCGCTATGGGGCACCTATGGGGCAGCTATGGGGTGTCTATGGGGTGTCTATGGGTGTCTATGGGTGTCTATGGGTATCTATGGGGGTCTATGGGGGTCTGTGGGGTGTCTATGGGGTGTCTATGGGTGTCTATGGGGGTCTATGGGGTGTCTATGGGTGTCTATGGGGGTCTATGGGTGTCTATGGGTGTCTATGGGTATCTATGGGGGTCTATGGGGGTCTATGGGGTGTCTATGGGGTGTCTATGGGTGTCTATGGGGTGTCTATGGGGGTCTATGGGGGTCCATGGGGGTCTATGGGGTGACTATGGAGTGTCTATGGGTGTCTATGGGTGTCTATGGGGGTCTATGGGGTGTCTATGGGGGGCCCGCAGCCGCCTCTTCCAGCGCCTGGCCACCATGCTGCGCGCCGCCGCACGAGGTCACCCGCAGCGGGCGCTGTGGGGCAGCTATGGGGCAGATATGGGGTGTCTATGGGGTTCTATGGGGTGTCTATGGGGTGTCTATGGGGTTCTATGGGGTGTCTATGGGGTGTCTATGGGGTTCTATGGGGTGTCTATGGGGTTCTATGGGGTGTCTATGGGGTTCTATGGGGTGTCTATGGGGTGTCTATGGGTGTCTAGGGGTGTCTATGGGGTGTCTATGGGGTGTCTATGGGTGTCTATGGGGTGATATGGGGTGTCTATGGGTGTCTATGGGGTGTCTATGGGTGTCTATGGGGTGTCTATGGGGTCTATGGGTGTCTATGGCGTGTCTATGGGGTGATATGGGGTGTCTATGGGGGTCTATGGGGTGTCTATGGGGTGTCTATGGGGGTCTTTGGGTGTCTATGGGGTGATATGGGGTGTCTATGGGTGTCTATGGGGTGTCTATGGGTGTCTATGGGGTGACTATGGAGTGTCTATGGGTGTCTATGGGGTGTCTATGGGGTTCTATGGGGTGTCTATGGGGTTCTATGGGGTGTCTATGGGGTGACTATGGAGTGTCTATGGGTGTCTATGGGGTGTCTATGGGTGTCTATGGGGTGACTATGGAGTGTCTATGGGTGTCTATGGGGTGTCTATGGGGGTCTATGGGGTTCTATGGGGTGTCTATGGGGTGTCTATGGGGGTCTATGGGGTGACTATGGAGTGTCTATGGGTGTCTATGGGGTGTCTATGGGTGTCTATGGGGTGTCTATGGGGGTCTATGGGGTGTCTATGGGTGACTATGGGGTGTCTATGGGGTGTCTATGGGTGTCTATGGGGTTCTATGGGGTGTCTATGGGGGTCTATGGGGTGTCTATGGGGGTCTATGGCGGTCTATGGGGTGTCTATGGGGTGTCTATGGGGTGTCTATGGGTGTCTATGGGGTGTCTATGGGGTGTCTGTGGGGGTCTATGGGTGTCTATGGGTGTCTATGGGGGGTCTATGGGGTGTCTATGGGGCACCTATGGGGTGTCTATGGGGTGTCTGTGGGGGTCTATGGGTGTCTATGGGGGTCTATGGGGTGTCTATGGGGTGACTATGGAGTGTCTATGGGTGTCTATGGGGTGTCTATGGGGGTCTATGGGTGTCTATGGGTGTCTATGGGGTGTCTATGGGGTGTCTATGGGGTGTCTATGGGGGTCTATGGGGTTCTATGGGGAGCCCGCAGCCGCCTCTTCCAGCGCCTGGCCACCATGCTGCGCGCCGCCGCACGAGGTCACCCGCAGCCCGCGCTATGGGGCAGCTATGGGGCAGATATGGGGTGTCTATGGGGCAGCTATGGGGCAGCTGTGGGGCAGCTGTGGGGCAGATATGGGGTGTCTATGGGGCAGCTATGGGGCAGATATGGGGCGATATGGGGCAGATATGGGGCAGATATGGGGTGTCTATGGGGTGTCTATGGGGTGTCTATGGGTGTCTATGGGGTGTTTTGGGGGTCTATGGGGTTCTATGGGGTGATATGGGGTGTCTATGGGTGTCTATGGGGTGTCTATGGGTGTCTATGGGGTGTCTATGGGGGGGGTCTATGGTGTGTCTATGGGGTGATATGGGGTGATATGGGGTGTCTATGGGGTGCTATGGGGGTCTATGGGGTGTCTATGGGTGTCTATGGGGTGACTATGGAGTGTCTATGGGTGTCTATGGGGTGTCTATGGGGGTTCTATGGGGTGTCTATGGGTGTCTATGGGGGTCTATGGGGTGACTATGGAGTGTCTATGGGTGTCTATGGGGTGTCTATGGGTGTCATGGGTGTCTATGGGGTCTATGGGGTGTCTATGGGTGTCTATGGGGTGTCTATGGGGGTCTATGGGGTGTCTATGGGGGTCTATGGGGGTCTATGGGGTGACTATGGAGTGTCTATGGGTGTCTATGGGGTGTCTATGGGGGTCTATGGGGTGTCTATGGGGTGTCTATGGGGGTCTATGGGGGTCTATGGGTGTCTATGGGGTGTCTATGGGGTGCTCTAGGGTGTCTATGGGGGTCCATGGGGTGACTATGAGTGTCTATGGGTGTCTATGGGGTGTCTATGGGTGTCTATGGTGTCTAATGGGGTGTCTATGGGGGTCTATGGGGTTCTATGGGGTGATATGGGGTGTCTATGGGTGTCTATGGGTGTCTATGGGGTGTCTATGGGGTGTCTATGGGGTGTTCTATGGGGTGTCTATGGGTGTCTATGGGGGTCTATGGGGTTCTATGGGGAGCCCGCAGCCGCCTCTTCCAGCGCCTGGCCACCATGCTGCGCGCCGCCGCACGAGGTCACCCGCAGCGGGCGCTATGGGGCACCTATGGGGCAGATATGGGGTGTCTATGGGGTGTCTATGGGGGTCTATGGGGTGTCTATGGGGTGTCTATGGGGGTCTATGGGGTGTCTATGGGGTGATATGGGGTGTCTATGGGGTGTCTATGGGGTGTCTATGGGGTGTCTATGGGTGTCTATGGGTATCTATGGGGGTCTATGGGGTGATATGGGGTGTCTATGGGGTGTCTATGGGGTGTCTATGGGGTGTCTATGGGGGTCTATGGGGTGACTATGGGGTGTCTATGGGGGTCTATGGGGGGTCTATGGGGGTCTATGGGGTGACTATGGGGTGTCTATGGGGGTCTATGGGGGTCTATGGGGTTCTATGGGGGTCTATGGGGTCTCTATGGGGGTCTATGGGGTTCTATGGGGGTCTGTGGGGTTCTCTGGGGCGCAATGGGTCTCAATGGGGCGCTATGGGGCGCAATGGGGCAGGGCGGACATGGCATGGGGTCTATGGGGCCATGGGACCCCTATGGGGAGTTTCCTATGGCTGGGCTCTTCCTTAGGTCCTATAGGGGAGATGTCACCCATAGGACTCCAATGAGGTGTGGGGAGATGTGGGGCAGGCCCTGCCCCACACCAACCTCCCCCCCCTGCCCCACATCTCCCCATAGAAGGGGGTCCGGACCCGGCGCTCAACTCCCAATTGGCCAACGTGGTGGAGCAGTGCAGGGCCAAGAACATGCCCAAGGCCTCCATTGAGGCGGCCATCCAGGGCGCGGTGGGTCCCTACTTGTGGGGCAGGGAGGGCGCCGGACCCATAAGTGGGATCTATGGGGCACTATGAGTGGGATAGGGCCCCATAAGTGGAGATATGGGGACCTATGAGTGGGATGGGGCCCCATAAGTGGAGATATGGGGCACTGTAAGTGGGATGGAGCCCCATAAGTGGGATCTATGGGGCACTATGAGTGGGATAGGGCCCCATAAGTGGAGCTATGGGGCACTATGAGTGGGATGGGGCCCCATAAGTGGGATCTATGGGGCACAATGAGTGGGATAGGGCCCCATAAGTGGAGCTATGGGGCACTGTAAGTGGGATGGAGCCCCATAAGTGGGATCTATGGGGCACTGTAAGTGGGATGGGTCCCTATAAGTGGGGTCTATGGGGCACTATGAGTGGAATGGGGCCCCAAAAGTGGGATCTATGGGGCACTATGAGTGGGATAGGGCCCCGTAAGTGGAGCTATGGGGCACTATGAGTGGGATGGGGCCCCATAAGTGGGATCTATGGGGCACAATGAGTGGGATAGGGCCCCATAAGTGGAGATATGGGGCACTGTATGTGGGATGGAGCCCCATAAGTGGGATCTATGGGGCACTGTAAGTGGGATGGGTCCCTATAAGTGGGGTCTATGGGGCACTATGAGTGGAATGGGGCCCCAAAAGTGGGATCTATGGGGCACTATGAGTGGGATAGGGCCCCGTAAGTGGAGCTATGGGGCACTATGAGTGGGATGGGGCCCCATAAGTGGGATCTATGGGGCACAATGAGTGGGATAGGGCCCCATAAGTGGAGATATGGGGCACTGTAAGTGGGATGGAGCCCCATAAGTGGGATCTATGGGGCACTGTAAGTGGAATGGAGCCCCATAAGTGGGATCTACGGGGCACTATGAGTGGGATAGGGCCCCATAAGTGGGATCTATGGGGCACTATGAGTGGGATGGAGCCCCATAAGTGGGATCTATGGGGCACTGTAAGTGGGATGGAGCCCCATAAGTGAAGCTATGGGGACCTATAAGTGGGATGGAGCCCCATAAGTGGATCTATGGGGCACTGTAAGTGGGATGGAGCCCCATAAGTAGGATCTATGGGGCACTGTAAGTGGGATGGAGCCCCATAAGTGGAGCTATGGGGCACTGTAAGTGGGATGGAGCCCCATAAGTGGAGCTATGGGGCACTGTAAGTGGGATGGAGCCCCATAAGTGGAGCTATGGGGCACTGTAAGTGGGATGGAGCCCCATAAGTAGGATCTATGGGGCACTGTAAGTGGGCTGGAGCCCCATAAGTGGAGCTATGGGGCACTATGAGTGGGATGGGGCCCCACAAGTGGGATCTATGGGGCACTATGAGTGGGATAGGGCCCCATAAGTGGGATCTATGGGGCACAATGAGTGGGATAGGGCCCCATAAGTGGAGCTATGGGGCACTGAAAGTGGGATGGAGCCCCATAAGTGGGATCTATGGGGCACTGTATGTGGAATGGAGCCCATAAGTGGGATCTATGGGGCACTGTAAGTGGGATGGAGCCCCATAAGTGGGATCTATGGGGCACTGTAAGTGGAATGGAGCCCCATAAGTGGAGATATGGGGACCTATGAGTGGGATAGGGCCCCATAAGTGGAGATATGGGGACCTATGAGTGGGATAGGGCACCATAAGTGGAGCTATGGGGCACTATGAGTGGGATAGGGCCCCATAAGTGGGATCTATGGGGCACTATGAGTGGGATAGGGCACCATAAGTGGAGCTATGGGGCACTGTAAGTGGGATGGGTCCCTATAAGTGGGGTCTATGGGGCACTATGAGTGGGATGGGGCCCCAAAAGTGGGATCTATGGGGCACTATGAGTGGGATAGGGCCCCATAAGTGGAGCTATGGGGCACTATGAGTGGAATGGGGCCCCATAAGTGGGATCTATGGGGCACTGTAAGTGGGATGGAGCCCCATAAGTGGAGAATATGGGGCACTATGAGTGGGATGGGGCCCCATAAGTGGAGCTATGGGGCACTGTAAGTGGGATGGGAGCCCCATAAGTGGAGCTATGGGGCACTATGAGTGGAATGGGGCCCATAAGTGGGATCTATGGGGCACTGTAAGTGGAATGGAGCCCCATAAGTGGGATCTATGGGGCACTATGAGTGGGATAGGGCCCATAAGTGGAGCTATGGGGCACTATGAGTGGGATGGGGCCCCATAAGTGGGATCTATGGGGCACAATGAGTGGGATAGGGCCCCATAAGTGGAGCTATGGGGCACTGTAAGTGGGATGGAGCCCCATAAGTGGGATCTATGGGGCACTGTAAGTGGGATGGGTCCCTATAAGTGGGGTCTATGGGGCACTATGAGTGGGATGGGGCCCCAAAAGTGGGATCTATGGGGCACTATGAGTGGGATAGGGCCCCGTAAGTGGAGCTATGGGGCACTATGAGTGGGATGGGGCCCCATAAGTGGGATCTATGGGGCACAATGAGTGGGATAGGGCCCCATAAGTGGAGCTATGGGGCACTGTAAGTGGGATTGAGCCCCATAAGTGGGATCTATGGGGCACTATGAGTGGGATGGAGCCCTATAAGTGGGATCTATGGGGCACTATAAGTGGGATGGAGCCCCATAAGTGGGATCTATGGGGCACTATGAGTGGGATAGGGCCCCATAAGTGGAGATATGGGGCACTATGAGTGGGATAGGGCCCCATAAGTGGAGCTATGGGGCACTATGAGTGGGATGGAGCCCCATAAGTAGGATCTATGGGGCACTGTAAGTGGGCTGGAGCCCCATAAGTGGAGCTATGGGGCACTATGAGTGGGATGGGGCCCCATAAGTGGAGCTATGGGGCACTATGAGTGGGATGGGGCCCCATAAGTGGGATCTATGGGGCACTATGAGTGGGATAGGGCCCCATAAGTGGAGCTATGGGGCACTATGAGTGGGATGGGGCCCCATAAGTGGGATCTATGGGGCACTGTGAGTGGGATGGGGCCCCATAAGTGGAGATATGGGGCACTGTATGTGGGATGGAGCCCCATAAGTGGGATCTATGGGGCACTGTAAGTGGGATGGAGCCCCATAAGTGAAGCTATGGGGACCTATAAGTGGGATGGAGCCCCATAAGTGGATCTATGGGGCACTGTAAGTGGGATGGAGCCCCATAAGTGGAGCTATGGGGCACTATAAGTGGGATGGAGCCCTATAAGTGCCCTCTATGGCTCCACCCCCCAACTGCCCTCTATGGCTCCGCCCCCTAAGTGCTCTCTATGGGTCTGCCCCCTAAGTGCTCTCTATGGGTCCCCCCATAAGTGCCTCTCTGGCACCCCCTAATTGCTCTCTATGGGTCTGCCCCATAAGTGCCTCTCTGGCACCCCCTAAGTGCTCTCTATGGGTCTGCCCCCTAAGTGCCCTCTATGGCTCTGCCCCCTAAGTGCCCTCTATGGGTCTGCCCCCTCTGGCTCCGCCCCCTAAGTGCCCTCTATGGGTCTGCCCCCTATGGCTCCATCCCCAACTGCCCTCTATGGGTCAGCCCCATAAGTGCCCTCTATGGCTCCACCCCCTAAGTGCCCTCTATGGGTCAGCCCCATAAGTGCCCTCTATGGCTACACCCCCTAAGTGCCCTCTATGGGTCTGCCCCCTATGGCTCCGCCCCCAACTGCCCTCTATGGGTCTGCCCCATAAGTGCTCTCTATGGGTCCCCCCATAAGTGCCTCTCTGGCACCCCCTAAGTGCTCTCTATGGGTCTGCCCCCTAAGTGCCCTCTATGGGTCTGCCCCCTATGGCTCCGTCCCCAACTGCCCTCTATGGGTCCACCCCCTAAGTGCCCTCTATGGGTCTGCCCCATAAGTGCCCTCTATGGGTCTGCCCCCTATGGCTCCATCCCCAACTGCCCTCTATGGGTCAGCCCCATAAGTGCCCTCTATGGCTCCACCCCCTAAGTGCCCTCTATGGGTCTGCCCCCTAAGTGCCCTCTATGGGTCTGCCCCCTGTGGCTCCGTCCCCAACTGCCCTCTATGGGTCCACCCCCTAACTGCCCTCTATGGGTCTGCCCCATAAGTGCTCTCTATGTGTCTGCCCCATAAGTGCCCTCTATGGCTCCGCCCCCTAAGTGCCCTCTATGGGTCAGCCCCATAAGTGCCCTCTATGGCTCCGCCCCCTAACTGCCCTCTATGGCTCCGCCCCCTAAGTGCCCTCTATGGGTCTGCCCCCTAAGTGCCCTCTATGGGTCTGCCCCCTGTGGCTCCGTCCCCAACTGCCCTCTATAGGTCAGCCCTATAAGTGCCCTCTATGGCTCCGCCCCCTAACTGCCCTCTATGGCTCCACCCCCTAAGTGCCCTCTATGGCTCCACCCCCTAAGTGCATCTATGGCTCCGCCCCCTAAGTGCCCTCTATGGGTCTGCCCCATAAGTGCCCTCTATGGGTCTGCCCCATAAGTGCCTCTCTGGCACCCCCTAACTGCCCTCTATGGGTCAGCCCCATAAGTGCTCTCTATGGGTCTGCCCCCTAACTGCCCTCTATGGGTCAGCCCCATAAGTGCTCTCTATGGGTCTGCCCCCTAACTGCCCTCTATGGCTCCGCCCCCTAAGTGCCCTCTATGGGTCTGCCCCCTAACTGCCCTCTATGGCTCCGCCCCCTAAGTGCCCTCTATGGGTCTGCCCCATAAGTGCCTCTCTGGCACCCCCTAACTGCCCTCTATGGGTCAGCCCCATAAGTGCCCTCTATGGCTCCGCCCCCTAAGTGCCCTCTATGGGTCTGCCCCCTATGGCTCCGCCCCCAACTGCCCTCTATGGGTCTGCCCCATAAGTGCTCTCTATGGGTCCCCCCATAAGTGCCTCTCTGGCACCCCCTAAGTGCTCTCTATGGGTCTGCCCCCTAAGTGCCCTCTATGGGTCTGCCCCCTATGGCTCCGTCCCCAACTGCCCTCTATGGGTCCACCCCCTAAGTGCCCTCTATGGGTCTGCCCCATAAGTGCCCTCTATGGGTCTGCCCCCTATGGCTCCATCCCCAACTGCCCTCTATGGGTCAGCCCCATAAGTGCCCTCTATGGCTCCACCCCCTAAGTGCCCTCTATGGGTCTGCCCCCTAAGTGCCCTCTATGGGTCTGCCCCCTGTGGCTCCGTCCCCAACTGCCCTCTATGGGTCCACCCCCTAACTGCCCTCTATGGGTCTGCCCCATAAGTGCTCTCTATGTGTCTGCCCCATAAGTGCCCTCTATGGCTCCGCCCCCTAAGTGCCCTCTATGGGTCAGCCCCATAAGTGCCCTCTATGGCTCCGCCCCCTAACTGCCCTCTATGGCTCCGCCCCCTAAGTGCCCTCTATGGGTCTGCCCCCTGTGGCTCCGTCCCCAACTGCCCTCTATAGGTCAGCCCCATAAGTGCCCTCTATGGCTCCGCCCCCTAACTGCCCTCTATGGCTCCACCCCCTAAGTGCATCTATGGCTCCGCCCCCTAAGTGCCCTCTATGGGTCTGCCCCATAAGTGCCCTCTATGGGTCAGCCCCATAAGTGCCTCTCTGGCACCCCCTAACTGCCCTCTATGGGTCAGCCCCATAAGTGCTCTCTATGGGTCTGCCCCCTAACTGCCCTCTATGGGTCAGCCCCATAAGTGCCCTCTATGGCTCCGCCCCCTAAGTGCCCTCTATGGGTCTGCCCCACAGCCGCCCCCCACATCGGCCTCTCGCCTCCTGTACCAGGCCCGTGCCCCTGGGGGGGTCGCGTTGCTCCTCTGGGTCCTGACCTCCAACCCCCGCCGCAGCCAGCACCACGTGGGCCTCATCCTCAGCCGCTATGGGTCAGTCTATGGGGCAGCCCCCTATCCGTGGGGCGCTATGGGGAGGGACGGGCCCCATAAGCGACCCCTTTGTGTGGGGCGGTTCTGTGGGGCCTCACAGGGGGACGCTCTCGGACGGCGCCCGCCACGGCTTCGAGGAGAAGGGGGTGGTGCGTGTGGGGCACAGGGACGCTATGGGGCGCGCTGTGGGGCTGGAGGGGGCCCTGGAGGTGGCGCTGGAGGCCGGGGCGCAGGACGTGTGCGAGGAGGAGGAGGAGGAGGAGGAGGAAGAGCCCGGCTTGAAGGTGAGGATGTGGGGCTATGGGGGGCTATGGGGACATGGGGGGCTATGGGGTTATGGGGGGTAATGGGGACATGGGGGGCTATGGGGGTTATGGGGGGTATAGGGGGTAATGGGGACATGGGGGGCAATGGGGACATGGGGGGCTATGGGGTTATGGGGGGCTATGGGGACATGGGGGGTATAGGGGGTAATGGGGACATGGGGGGCTATGGGGCTATGGGAGGCTATGGGGACATGGGGGGCTATGGGGGGTATAGGGGGTAATGGGGACATGGGGGGCAATGGGGCTATGGGGGGTATAGGGGGTAATGGGGACATGGGGGGCAATAGGGGTTATGGGGGGCTATGGGGACATGGGGGGTATAGGGGGTAATGGGGACATGGGGGGCAATGGGGCTATGTGGGGGTATAGGGGGTAATGGGGACATGGGGGGCAATGGGGTTATGGGGGGCAATGGGGACATGGGGGGTATAGGGGGTAATGGGGACATGGGGGGCAATGGGGCTATGGGGGGCTATGGGGACATGGGGGGCAATGGGGTTATGGGGGGCAATGGGGTTATGGGGGGCAATGGGGGGTATGGGGGGGTATAGGGTGCAATGGGGACATGGGGGGCAATGGGGCCTATAAGTGATGTGGGGGTCTATGGGGGGACGTGGGGGGTATAGGGGGCTATGGGGCGCTATGGGGACATGGGGGGGGCCTAATGGGGCACCAACCACCCTTGGACACCCCTTGACCCCCATTGCCCCCCATTGACCCCCATTGACCCCCATTGACCTCCATTGACCTCCATTGATCCCCATTGCCCCCCATTGACCCCCACTGCCCCCATTGACCTCCATTGCCCCCTATTGACCCCCATTGACCCCCATTGCCCCCCATTGACCCCCATTGACTCCCATTGACCCCCATTGCCCCCATTGACCTCCATTGACCTCCATTGACTTCCATTGCCCCCCATTGACCTCCCTTGACCCCCATTGATCCCCATTGACCTCCATTGCCCCCCATTGCCACCCCATTGACCCCCATTGCCCCCATTGACTCCCATTGACCTTCATTGCCCCCCATTGCCCCCCATTGACTCCCATTGACCCCCATTGATCACCATTGACTCCCATTGACCTCCATTGCCCCCCATTGACCTCCATTGACCTCCATTGACCCCCATTGACTCCCATTGACCTCCATTGACTCCCATTGACCTCCATTGATCCCCATTGACTCCCATTGACCTCCATTGCCCCCCATTGCCCCCCATCACCCCCCATTGACTTCCATCGCCCCCCATTGCCCCCCCCCCCCCAGTTCCTCTGCTCCCCCTCCTCATTGGCCGCCGTCCGGACCCACGTGGAGGCCTCGGGGCTCCTGGTTCTCTCGGCCTCGGTGGAGTTCACCCCATTGATCCGTGTGGGGCTGCCCCCCGAGGCCCAGCTCCGGGCCCGGGGCCTGCTCCGCGCCCTCCGAGCCTGCCCCGACGTCCTCCGCGTCTTCCACAACGTCCAATGGGAGCCCTCCGTGCGGGCCGACCAATGAGGGAGCGCCGGGCTCCAGAGCGGCGCCCAATAAAGAGACGGCGATCGGGGCACTATGGGGGTCATCAATGGGGCCTGGGGGTCGACAATGGGGCCCTATGGGGAGTACGGGCTATGGGGCCCTATGGGGAGTACGGGCTATGGGGCATGGGGGTCGTCAATGGGGCCCTATGGGGAGCACGGGCTATGGGGCATGGGGGTCGTCAATGGGGCCCTATGGGGAGTACGGGCTATGGGGCATGGGGGTCGTCAATGGGGCCCTATGGGGAGTACGGGCTATGGGGCATGGGGGTCATCAATGGGGCCCTATGGGGAGTACGGGCTATGGGGCATGGGGGTCGTCAGTGGGGCCCTATGGGGAGTACGGGCTATGGGGCATGGGGGTCGTCAATGGGGCCCTATGGGGAGTACAGGCTATGGGGCATGGGGGTCGTCAATGGGGCCCTATGGGGAGTACGGGCTATGGGGCATGGGGGTCGTCAATGGGGCCTGGGGGTCATCAATGGGGCCTGGGGGTCGTCAATGGGGCCCTATGGGGACCGTGGTCAATGGGGCCCTATGGGGAGTACGGGCTATGGGGCATGGGGGTCGTCAATGGGGCCCTATGGGGAGCACGGGCTATGGGGCATGGGGGTCGTCAATGGGGCCCTATGGGGAGCACGGGCTATGGGGCATGGGGGTCGTCAATGGGGCCTGGGGGTCATCAATGGGGCCTGGGGGTCGTCAATGGGGCCCTATGGGGACCATGGTCAATGGGGCCCTATGGGGAGTACGGGCTATGGGGCATGGGGGTCATCAATGGGGCCTGCGGGTCATCAATGGGGCCCTATGGGGAGTACGGGCTATGGGGCCTGGGGGTCGTCAATGGGGCCCTATGGGGACCATGGTCAATGGGGCCCTATGGGGAGCACGGGCTATGGGGCATGGGGGTCGTCAATGGGGCCTGGGGGTCGTCAATGGGGCCCTATGGGGAGCACGGGCTATGGGGCATGGGGGTCGTCAATGGGGCCCTATGGGGACCATGGTCAATGGGGCCCTATGGGGAGCACGGGCTATGGGGCATGGGGGTCGTCAATGGGGCCTGGGGGTCGTCAATGGGGCCCTATGGGGAGCACGGGCTATGGGGCATGGGGGTCGTCAATGGGGCCCTATGGGGAGTACGGGCTATGGGGCATGGGGGTCGTCAATGGGGCCCTATGGGGAGCACGGGCTATGGGGCATGGGGGTCGTCAATGGGGCCCTATGGGGAGTACTGGCTATGGGGCATGGGGGTCGTCAATGGGGCCCTATGGGGAGTACGGGCTATGGGGCATGGGGGTCATCAATGGGGCCTGGGGGTTACCAATGGGGCCCTATGGGGAGTACAGGCTATGGGGCATGGGGGTCATCAATGGGGCCTGGGGGTCATCAATGGGGCCTGGGGGTCATCAGTGGGGCCTGGGGGTCGTCAATGGGGCCCTATGGGGACCATGGTCAATGGGGCCCTATGGGGAGCACGGGCTATGGGGCATGGGGGTCATCAATGGGGCCCTATGGGGAGCACGGGCTATGGGGCATAGGGGTCGTCAATGGGGCCCTATGGGGAGTATGGGCTATGGGGCATGGGGGTCGTCAATGGGGCCCTATGGGGAGCACGGGCTATGGGGCATAGGGGTCGTCAATGGGGCCCTATGGGGAGTACGGGCTATGGGGCATGGGGGTCGTCAATGGGGCCCTATGGGGACCATGGTCAATGGGGCCCTATGGGGAGTATGGGCTATGGGGCATGGGGGTCATCAATGGGGCCTGCGGGTCATCAATGGGGCCCTATGGGGAGTACGGGCTATGGGGCCTGGGGGTCATCAATGGGGCCTGGGGGTCGTCAATGGGGCCCTATGGGGACCATGGTCAATGGGGCCCTATGGGGAGTACGGGCTATGGGGCATGGGGGTCGTCAATGGGGCCTGGGGGTCGTCAATGGGGCCCTATGGGGAGCACGGGCTATGGGGCATGGGGGTCGTCAATGGGGCCCTATGGGGAGCACGGGCTATGGGTCCTGGGGGTCATCAATGGGGCCCTATGGGGAGTACGGGCTATGGGGCATAGGGGTCGTCAATGGGGCCCTATGGGGAGTACGGGCTATGGGGCATGGGGGTCATCAATGGGGCCCTATGGGGAGTACGGGCTATGGGGCATGGGGGTCATCAATGGGGCACTATGGGGAGTACGGGCTATGGGGCATGGGGGTCGTCAATGGGGCCCTATGGGGAGTACGGGCTATGGGGCATGGGGGTCGTCAATGGGGCCTGGGGGTTACCAATGGGGCCCTATGGGGAGTACGGGCTATGGGGCATGGGGGTCGTCAATGGGGCCTGGGGGTCATCAATGGGGCCCTATGGGGAGTACGGGCTATGGGTCCTGGGGGTCATCAATGGGGCCCTATGGGGAGTACGGGCTATGGGGCATGGGGGTCGTCAATGGGGCCCTATGGGGAGCTTGGGCTATGGGGCCTGGGGGTCATCAATGGGGCCCTATGGGGAGTACGGGCTATGGGGCATGGGGGTCGTCAATGGGGCCTGGGGGTCGTCAATGGGGCCCTATGGGGACCATGGTCAATGGGGCCCTATGGGGAGCTTGGGCTATGGGGCATGGGGGTCATCAATGGGGCCCTATGGGGAGTACGGGCTATGGGGCATGGGGGTCGTCAATGGGGCCCTATGGGGAGCACGGGCTATGGGGCATAGGGGTCGTCAATGGGGCCCTATGGGGAGTACGGGCTATGGGGCATGGGGGTCATCAATGGGGCCTGGGGGTTACCAATGGGGCCCTATGGGGAGCACGGGCTATGGGGCATGGGGGTCGTCAATGGGGCCCTATGGGGAGTACGGGCTATGGGGCATGGGGGTCGTCAATGGGGCCCTATGGGGAGCACGGGCTATGGGGCATGGGGGTCATCAATGGGGCCTTTGGGGACCATGGTCAATGGGGCCCTATGGGGAGCTTGGGCTATGGGGCATGGGGGTCATCAATGGGGCCCTATGGGGAGTACGGGCTATGGGGCATAGGGGGCGTCAATGGGGCCCTATGGGGAGCACGGGCTATGGGGCATGGGGGTCGTCAATGGGGCCCTATGGGGAGTACGGGCTATGGGGCATGGGGGTCATCAATGGGGCCTGGGGGTTACCAATGGGGCCCTATGGGGAGTACAGGCTATGGGTCCTGGTGGTCACCAATGGGTCCCTATGGGGAGCATCGTCTATGGGTCCTGGGGGTCACCAATGGGTCCCTATGGGGACCACGGTCTATGGGTCCTGGTGGTCACCAATGGGTCCCTATGGGGACCATGGTCTATGGGTCCTGGTGGTCACCAATGGGTCCCTATGGGGAGCTTGGTCTATGGGTCCTGGTGGTCACCAATGGGTCCCTATGGGGAGCTTGGTCTATGGGTCCTGGTGGTCACCAATGGGTCCCTATGGGGAGCTTGGTCTATGGGTCCTGGTGGTCACCAATGGGTCCCTATGGGGAGCTTGGTCTATGGGTCCTGGTGGTCACCAATGGGGCCCTATGGGGAGCTTGGTCTATGGGTCCTGGTGGTCACCAATGGGTCCCTATGGGGACCACGGTCTATGGGTCCTGGTGGTCACCAATGGGTCCCTATGGGGAGCTTGGTCTATGGGTCCTGGTGGTCACCAATGGGTCCCTATGGGGACCACGGTCTATGGGTCCTGGTGGTCACCAATGGGTCCCTATGGGGAGCTTGGTCCATGGATCCCTATGGGGCCCACACTCCACAGCCCCCGCCCCCCAAGCACCATGACATCACCATCCTGTGGGGCTCCTTTAATGCCCTATGGGGCTCACTCGGACGCCGTGGGGCTGCCCAAGAACAGCGCCCCATAGACGAAGGCTTGGGCTATGGGGCCTGGTGGTCATCAATGGGTCCTGGGGGTCACCAATGGGTCCTGGGGGTCACCAATGGGTCCCTATGGGGAGCTTCGTCTATGGGTCCTGGTGGTCACCAATGGGTCCCTATGGGGAGCTTGGTCTATGGGTCCTGGTGGTCACCAATGGGTCCCTATGGGGAGCTTGGTCTATGGGTCCTGGTGGTCACCAATGGGTCCCTATGGGGAGCTTGGTCTATGGGTCCTGGTGGTCACCAATGGGTCCCTATGGGGAGCTTCGTCTATGGGTCCTGGTGGTCACCAATGGGTCCCTATGGGGAGCTTGGTCTATGGGTCCTGGTGGTCACCAATGGGTCCCTATGGGGACCACGGTCTATGGGTCCTGGTGGTCACCAATGGGTCCCTATGGGGAGCTTGGTCTATGGGTCCTGGTGGTCACCAATGGGTCCCTATGGGGAGCTTCGTCTATGGGTCCTGGTGGTCACCAATGGGTCCCTATGGGGAGCTTGGTCTATGGGTCCTGGTGGTCACCAATGGGTCCCTATGGGGACCACAGTCTATGGGTCCTGGTGGTCACCAATGGGTCCCTATGGGGAGCTTGGTCTATGGGTCCCGGGGGTCATCAATGGGTCCCTATGGGGAGCTTGGTCTATGGGTCCTGGTGGTCACCAATGGGTCCCTATGGGGAGCTTGGTCCATGGATCCCTATGGGGCCCACACTCCACAGCCCCCGCCCCCCAAGCACCATGACATCACCATCCTGTGGGGCTCCTTTAATGCCCTATGGGGCTCACTCGGACGCCGTGGGGCTGCCCAAGAACAGCGCCCCATAGACGAAGGCTCCGGGGTCGTCGTCTTCTTCCTCCTCCTCCTCCTCCTCCTCCTCCTCCTCCCTCAGGAGCCGCTGCACCAGGGGGTGGCTGAGCCCAAAGACCTCCTCCCCTGCCCCACATCCCCTCGATGTGGGTCCCGCATCGCCCCCTATGGCTTGAAGGACCCCCCCACTGCCCTCACCCGCTACCACTGCGCCGCCCTCCGGCTCCCGGCTCCCCCGCGACCCATAGCGCCTCCTGCCCCACATCCGCCCGCTCCGGACCCCTACGCCTTCCACCGCGACCCC